ATTTATTAGAAAAACATTTTTTTTGCAACCAGCTTGTAGGGAAGATTTCCGTTTATTTGAGACTTAATTCACCGGTATGGATACCAGTGTATGTACATGATTGAACTGCCGAGCGTATTTGTTAAGTATTTTTTTTCTAAAAAAAATACATCAGCTCGCAGAGTCTCTCATCCTCCAATTGATTCACATCCCATCAGGTAAAGAATGACGAACGGTCTTGTTGATAGCAAATCCCACTTTCTGTCCCTTCATAAACTCTGATTCACGGCGGTATTAAATTACTTTCTTTGAATGATTTTGGAATTTTTCAACAAGATATTAACTTCAACGGATTATTCCCTGAATTTTGCTTGCACAAAACTGGTTCTTCCTTGCTATTTTCTCATTTAGAAAACCACTTCTTTTTGAGAAAACACAAGTACAAGTCTGAGGACAACTAAAATTCATGGTGGCGGCCAATGGCCATTCCGTTTAACTTAACATGTAGGCCTAGTGGCGACATGTATGATTACGCCCTTTCCCTTTAAACACAAACACAAAAACAAAACAAAACACAAAAACAACACAAGAAAAATTTGGGGGAGGGCAACGGGGGCCATGCCCCCCCCCCCCCAAAAAAATGGAACCCATTTTTTTTTCAGTGTCTTCGCAATAAAGGCAGGTACTGCATACACCACCATCTTTTCCTTAAAAAAAATGGTTAAAGTGGTCAGAAATTGCCTCAGATCGCACCACAGAGCATTTAGAACCCCCCCCCCCAAAATCCAGCCTTGGGGCCATGCAAGGCCTTGTATACATTAAAAAAAAGATAGGAAGATAGGCCTGTTATTATTGGTACGGCCATAGCCGTACCTGCCGTACCGCTTCCTACGGCCTTGGTGAAAGACCAGGTATTAGTGGGCGTGTAAGCTCTACACCCTGGGGACGAGGTTGATACAAATGCATATTCCAGTTTACCGGGAATCCCTGTATATCTTTGCTTTTGAAGATCTCGACCCGGGACTCCTAGCGATCCAGCAACTTCACCAAAGAAAGAACCAGCTTTGTTCAGGTTCATACTGTTACACTTTGGACATGATAATAAGTACATTCTCTCCCAGAATACTTTACAATTTGACGGAACACACAATGCCAATAGTATGAATTCCAAAGGGAAATACACAGCCTCAAAATATGGTACTTACCACAAATCGGAACCGGTAGTACGGGGAGTAAATAATAGACTGGATCATTCCAGTCTCTCCGCTATATGCTCTTTCCTTATCAGGGGTAGGGCCCTCGAACTTTGATCGAACCACTCATTTTTTGGGTAGATATAACCTTTGATTCTTTCAAAGAGGGCCTAATATTCTTACTATGTTTGAATTTGTTTAATACACGTACTGTGTCGACAATTAACCCTGAAATGTCTGGGCCATTTTGATTATCTCTCAGCCGGGGGGGGGGGGGGATTCCGGCCCCCCATAAGATATCGGCCATCGACTGACGAAAAATGTTAAAATCGGTACATGCATAGAACAACTTGTCATGAACATACACAAGAAATTTCATGACTATATATAGCTCAAAGGGTTTTGGAATTATGGCTAATTAATTATTCATATACATGAATGGTAATTCTGCTCTGTGTTCACAAAGTATATGGAGAAATTAAGTTTTCACGGCACGTAGCGCCGGAATCAATTTCGCTTCTAAATCTATTAAACTGAGCGGGAAAACCGCAAATCTGCTTTTTGCGTACCTAACGCTAGGGGCGTCCTTCCTTTCACCTTTTTTTAAAGCAGACTGTCCTATCTTCATACGGTCTGTACACGTGAACTTTAAGATATTTTTGAGAAAATCTTCTGAAGCCTGCTGGCGTTTGTCCCCATTTTGAAAATCACGGGACCAACAAACAAGAATATTGTGCTTTCAGCGCATAGTTAATCTTTTTTTTAGCTTAGCACGTAGCTCAGGGTGACCGCACACAGTAAGTTTTTCGCCTCGGGAGGCGAAAGAAATCAAACAGGGGAGATATTTGCCTCACGGCCTAGCGAGGCAGGAAACTCAGCAAAAATTCACCGTATACAAGAGAATATTTCGTGAGCTACGTGCTGAGCAAACGGCCTCGAATGACTTTGCTCACCACGTACCTCTAGTTTGCCGCGAGCGTTAGGGGATAAGAGAAACTTGGCCCTTACACATCAGCTAGTATAGTATTACAATGACTGGAAAGGTTTTATTGTACATGTTGTCCTATTTCACATTGTGGAATATTCCTTCCTCTATGGTTACATCAGGCTCAACTATGTACAACTACATGTAACAACTAATAAGTTTTAATCTTAACTTGTGTAAGCTGACATTGAGAGTCATTTGTGACAAATAATTACAAGTGAAACACAGTTATTTGTTTTTGGAGTGCTATAACAAGCTACGAACCGTAGCAAACATGGGGTCTAAAGCAAATATGGGGTCTATGTGCCAGGCTATAGCTACTTTTTAAAAAGCAATATTTGCAGAAGTCTCCAGACTATCCCAAACTCACATACATTTAAGGTTTCCTGATCTTATTTAATTGTCCTGATTCTTCTGTTCTGACGTCCAACATGCATGACCAGGAAATTCTACATTGGCACTCTACCTTTAAGATATTGCAATTAAATCATTTTAAATTTAAAGCTAGAGTCCATCATTTGCAGCCATCCGAAAAGTAACTGGCGTAATTATTGTTGAAAAACAAACTTGGTTGAAAGATAGTAAGGAAACTAAACTCCCTGTGAAATTATTCTTTCTGGGAAGCTGTCATTTTGAAGTAATCAACGAAAGAAGGCATTTCCAACGGTGATTCTTAAGAAGCACCGTAGGAAAATTTAAATTAGTAGTTCGTTTTGTTATTCAGCGCAGCGCGCACAAGTATTGGAACGACGCACGCGCGCGCGCGGTTGTTATAATTCGTCGGATCAGTGCGCGACGTCGCGTAAAGCTGCAATTCAAAACAATTCAAAACATGATTCAGTAACTTTTGATTTGAAATTGAGATCTTAGAATGCTGTTTTTCTCGGAATGTACAGCTAAAGCTTAGCTGAAGCTTCATCAGGTTAGTTGCTCAGTATCCTTCATTAGATTTTGAACTCTTTTGTTGCTTCAAACGAACAAAATGCACAAATTACAAATTATGGACTGTAGCTTTAAAAGAAAATGTAGTTTGTCATAAAATGCCACGAACACGAAGAAAAAAAAGGATACAATCTATGCAGCATAACGCAAGAGTGCACAAAGTGAATATAAATACATACATTTTTATTAGTGAATTCTAAAAAAAAACAGGAAGAAGATATAATCTGGGAGAGCGAATTACTTTTTTTTTTAAAACTACCATCACACTAGTTGTACAACATACAACGTATGGACACGAATATAGAAACTAGCCTGTTTTTTTAAAGCATTATCTACCAATGACATTATGCGTTGCAGGTGTCCCAGAGGGGTAACTTTGTCAGTAACAACGATTACACAGCAGGTTTACTCCAGCCTATCCCAACGATACAAAACCATAGCCATCTTACTCCGCCTTAACACAACCCTAACCTTCGCAAATCCTCCCACATTGGATTTGCAAAATGGGAAATTTTGCAGGATTGAGGCAGTGGTCAGCCCTCCAAGGAACACATTCAAGAAATAACGAAGAATTTTGCAGGATTGAAGCTGTATGCTTTTTTTTTTACATGGAGGCAGTTGGAGGATTTTGCAGGCTTGAGGTTACATCCTAGCAAAAATGATATTACATCTGCACTTGTTTTATAGTTCAAGACAAACGTGGGCCACCCGCATTTCGCCATAATTTTGTTCATTTCAGTTCTCTTAAATGAACACATTGTCACATACTATGGTCTCTACTGTTAAAAATCGTTTCTTTGAACAAGCACCGTATCCGGTACTCTCCCACAAACTAGTAAGAAATCTCGGTGCGATAAATCGGTTGAAGTTTCCCACTGCCCTACAACATATTATATTGTTTTTCAAGAAAGCTGTGCAAATTATTTAAAACAAAATTGCTTGTCAAAACAGCTATTTTTTTCGTACAGCTTTATAATGTAGAATTAAATTAGCGAGATCCAACGACTTTACTTTCCCATTCAATTATCAGGCACTCATCAATATATTGTGTCTGTTATTAACAACCAGGCATCAACATCACGCGGTCCTATTATTGCGGAATGATATATGTATTTGATTTGGATTTCTTTGTTATTGATACTTAAACCTTTTCCTTAGGCTTGTATTAATTTTGTTTGTTCCTGGTGCTATTTTCGAGTTTCATCGCAAAAAAACATTTACTTTTAAATGCGACAACGACCGAAAACAATATCTGTCCATGTTTAGTTTATACTGAATTATTATTTTACAATTTAAAATGTTTGGTTGTCAGACAATATTTGTCGTTCTTAATGTACGACCGGACCGGGAGCCAGTCTGCTCGCAACGCGGATCTGTTTGTACCCAAAACAAAAACCTTTGTAAGAGTTTTGCAGACGTAAAAAAGAAGGTTTCTTTGGTTGGAATCAAATATAGTAGAAAATATATTAACTGAAAAAGAGCATTGGAGAGCATTTGATTGAAATCGCTTTATTATTTTGTTCTATTATGTTCAAAGCACCACTAAAATAATTCTCATATATTTACAAGGATGAAATCTACTTTAAAAAGTATAATTAAACTAATACCGAAAACCATGGGCGTCGCCAGGATTTTTTCTAGAGGGGGGCAAAAAATTTTTTTTGCCAAAAAATGCTTGTATTTCTCAACACATTCTCGATTTATCAGTTTTAGAGGGGGGCAGGGACATTTTGCCCCCCCCCCCAACTCATTAAATTTACACCACTTTGTCTTCGCGCCTCTTTTTCTTTTTTCTTTTTTTCGTTTTTTTCTTCTTTTTTTTTTTTTTTTTTTTTTTTGCTTTTCCAGGGGGGGGGGCAAGTGCCCCCCCTTGCCCCCCCCTCGCGACGCCCATGCCGAAAACCTAAAAAATACGACCGCTTTAAATCAAATCACATTTTGTGCATGATATTTATTTGCATACTAATCTCACATGTTCATCTGAATGCTGGCCTTCTATGTGAAGTAGCAAACATATTAAGCAAAGGCGAACGATGTCACGACATGGTCTATCTACTTGTCCTTGTCCCGGACAAACGAAGCAAAGATCCCGTCCTCCATCGCCATCAGCTCATCAGGTGTCCCGTACTCGGCCAGTTTGCCCTCATCCAGTACCAGAATGCTGTCCGAGTTCAGGATGGTCGAGATGCGATGCTAATTGATAAATATAGAGAATAATAATAAAAATAATTATCATACAAAAACAGAGAGAAACCAACAAGTCAGCGGTGTAACTAATCAAGGGCGGATGGGGGGGGGGGGGGGGGCAATGGAGGCCATGGCCACCCCCCAAAACGAACCCATTTTTTTTTTTGTGCGAACACCAGCCTCTATTCCCGGCTCAACAAAATTTGGTTAAAGTGGTCAGAAATTGCCTCAGATCACACCACAGGGCATCTTGAATCAAATTGTCTTCAGGCCCCTTGAGCTGGCCCCGAACCCCACGCCGTAATTTTTTGGACACACTTTTTGGGGGACCAAAATTTGTTGTGCCCCCCTCCCCCCCCCCCCCCCAAAAAAAAATTGTGCTCTGGATCCGTCATGGTTACTAATGGGAGGTGGGCCGGTAGAGGCCGCGGCGGGCCCCCTTCAAAACATGCTCCCAGGTTAGTGCTCCCACTCGGAATTTGGCGGTAGGTTAAAAAAAAAACCTTAAAAAGCAATTAGTTTTTCCTCCAGAAGATGAGACACTAATGCTCCACCCCTCTGCAAACTGGAACGTAGTTACATCAGATTTCCCTTTGACCTTGTGAATTGCAAATTCATATTATTTTCAGTCTTGTTAATCTATAATTCCAGAAATGTCTCTGTGTCTCTGTGTATTTCCATTATTTCCAGAACTGGGCGCTGTATCAAGTTGAAAATCGGCAGCTGTAATGCTCATGACCCCAAAATGTGCAATGCCAAGTTTGAAGTTGTTCGGATGAGCGTTTCTCAAAGAAGCTCCTAAAAAATTACATTTTCCGGAGTCCTAGACCATACGTTTGTGTGTATACATACCGCGCAACGCACTGCTGCATTTTTACCACACCACCGGTACGGGTTAACACACGTGCAAATGGTGTTCAGCTGTTTGGGCTCGGCCATTGCTTAGAAGGGAAAGATCGCGTAACGGTGAGCTGGGTCTCGACCATTTCTTGAAGGGGACGATCGCGCAACAGTGAGGTGGACCTCGACCATTTTTTGAAAGGCACGATCGCGCAACGGTGTATGGCGCTCTATTTCACGGGTACGGCACTCTCTACCGCCACGTTTGCGGGTCTACCGGAGGTCAAGCAATCTGTCCGTTCCAGACAGGCACGTTTTGAACGGGCACTGCACTACACTAGTAATATAACAATTGTGGGAAAATTCATTCAAAACGTACCGCTATTGTTAGTACTGTTCTCTCAGCAAAGGCTACCTCTACAACCTTTTGAAGGAGGTTATCCTGCAAGATAAGGGAACAACGGTAGGTTATCAGTACCAAGCGCCCCAAGCAAAATTGTGGTAAACGCTACGTCTCATAATTGATATTAGTTTTGCTGACTTTACTTGAAACTTGGTAGAAACCTGTGTAATCGCACACAAATTTATAGTGCATCCAATCCTTGCATTTGAATTTTGAGCCTTGGTCTTGGCCATATTTTACCCATATTTCTCACCGTTTCCTGGTCCATAGAGGCGGTGGCTTCGTCCATGATGAGGATACGGGACTTGCGCAGGAAGGCACGAGCCAGACAGAACAGCTGCCGCTGACCAACGCTGAAATTCTCACCGCCCTCGGTCACCAAGAAATCTTAAAGACAGAATGTTTGTCGGAACTTAGGCACCCCACTCCGCTGTATTCAAATATTATCCATGATATCATTGAGCTACCATATGCACAAATTATATTTGCTAAGCACAGACAGTTGTTGATAAGCAATACACGGTTACTAGCCAAAGTGTCGTGCAGTGCATATTGCGTTTGGCTGGTACTCAGCTGATTAATGCTTTACACGGCTATCGGCTAAGCAAACTTTCAACTATAAGCAGCTTGACGAATTTGTCAAAGCAACCCCAATACATCACATTCTTGGCAAGGCTCTCAAAATATTTTCAGATTTCGTCAAGGTTTGTAAATATGAAGTGTCAAATATAAGGCACGAAAACGTTTGAATTCATTAATTGACTACTAGGTTTTGCATTAAGACATACACGAACCGAACTTCAACAAAAAATGGTATATATACGACAAATATAGATGATTTCAGCCAAAAGTAACAATAACTAATGACTACAACGCTGCCACAAATAGTGAGATATAAGCAGGCAGCAAAGTAGTCGCCTCTAAGCAGACAGTTAACTTTAATATCCTTTAATTTCGCTAGACTGACAAACTAATAATCACGTAGTCTAAAGTGACTTACCAAGCCCGCCCTCTAACGAAGTCACTACATCTTTCAGTTGGGAGATTTCTAGGGCGTGCCAAAGTTCCTCGTCAGTTTTGTCAGATGAAGGGACAGGGTTCAAATTCATCCTGCGCACAAAAGTATCGTCTCATGGTCTTAAAAAATGCAACTCGGTGCCACTTTATTAATGCTACTTGCTTCACATTCTCGTCTCTATAGATATATTTAGTACAGGTTTTACTGACCTAATTTACTAACAGTGTAACATTTTTTTCATTACGTTTTCCTATATAATCACTAACATTACTGTAGCCTACCTTATTGTTCCGGTGAAAAGGACAGGATCCTGTGGGATAATGCTTATTTTACTCCGGAGAGTAGTCAGGGGAACAGACTTGATGTCAACTCCATCTATCAAAATGTGTCCTACACAAAAAAAGATTAAGGAAATGTTACTGGAGTAAGCGCATACCTATTCTTTCAGTTTATAATTTTGTAAAAAATATCTGCCAATTTGTGAATTCGCATCCCCCACCTTTTTACGATTAGTGATTTCAATTAAAAAGACCTTACCTTGACAGATATCGATGACTCGAAGCAAAGCAAGAGTAAGCGAAGACTTGCCAGCTCCCGTCCGTCCGCATATGCCAACCTACATGCAGAAGACGAAAGTAAGAATTACCCTAGATTACTCGCTGAAAACAAAGTAAAAATACAATAGTTTCTTTCCAACTGAACCAATACGACTTTTCTTCAACCTTATCTGAAATTAATCGTTTTTGTATTTTGATATATATGACATTGCCTTAGAAATGTTTTTAAAACCTTTGCAAACATGAATGATTCAGGAATACCCTGGTCACAGTTCATTTAATAGCTCAATATACTCGATTTAAGTTGACAAGTGATTTAACAGTGATTAACTTGTGATAAACTTGTATAAGGGACTTGTGATTGACTTGTGGTGACTTGACTAACAACCCTGGCTTTTAAATTGTAACATTATCCTATAAATTAGTCCGAGGAGCTTCAATTTTCATTTATGCATTTGAAAACGTTTGAGAAAATTAATGATTTGCGGTTGTTCACTTTGTTGTTTCGCAGCGTTTGTCCTCATGAAACTTGACGTTATGTGGGAAAAGTTAGCAGGTTTCCCGACTTCAAAGAGGGTTGTTTCTCAAATGTACCTCTTATGACTTCGGACTTGATTTTTGGTTTCCTATACGATAACCATACTTCAACCGTGTCAGGTTTACCTTTTCTCCAGCTTTGAAATCCAGCGTGATATCGTTCAGCACAGTGTCTGTATCGATGGCGTAGCGCACCGACACGTGGTCCAGCTGGATACGGCCTTCTTGCGGCCACTCCGGTGGTGGATCCTCGCCTGAAACCGGTATTATTTGGGGGATTTGTTGTTAATCTTAGAAACAGGTTTTTGTATTGATGATGCCTAAATTGGATAAATTACATGACACATGAGGTAATGCACAACTGTCCTAAATTTGTCCTCGAAAACTTAATAAATGCTAAAATTTATTTTGAAAGTTCATTTCAAAGAATATCGTAATTTGTGGCAAAGGGTATTTGTTTTCTCTAAAATTTAAACAACAAATGAAGAAAAAACCCAAAGAGTAGGCAAATGGCATTGTTAGACCTCACATTTCAAGGGACTGGAAGGTCATTTTCCCCAGTAAACCGACTCTCAGATAAGCCCTAACTATGTCACTGCGGAAAAGAGTAATTATCTTACTGCGGAGAAGAGGAAGAAGAACTGGTACATTGAAACATATTCCCATTCCGAAACTGGCTAGCCTTTCCTCATGTTTTCATAGAATACTGCGCAGAGGCTACCACAAGTCCATTGCAGTCACATCACAAGTCTGTCACAAGTAATTTGCGACAAGTATATAGCGGGGGATGAACAGTTGCAAGTGAATGCCTTCGTCACAGTTCATTAGATAGCTTCTGAGTTAGCTTGAGACTTGTGATTGACTTGTGATTGACTTGTGATTGACATGTGATTGACCTGTGATTGGCTTGAAATTGACTTGTGATTGACTTGCGATTGACTGGTGACTGACTGGTTACTGACTTGGATTGACTTGTGATTGACCTGTGATTGACTTGTGATTGACTTGTGATTGACATGTGATTGACATGTGATTGACTTGTGATTGGCCTGTGATTGACTTGTGACTGACATGTGACTGACATGTGATTGACATGTGAATTTATGAGTTCTTTTGAGAACATGAATTAACTCTGGGATACCATTCTATATGCTCAGAATACAATATAACAAGGCAACGCGAGCCAAGTAAAGCTGGTCCCAGAGTGCACAATGTTTCACTCACTGGATTTTCAACGGCTATTCACTAAATGTCTCTGGCATACACAAGTAGCCATATTTAGCCTTCAATCGCCAACAGCCAGGCTAATTCACAAAGACAGACAATTAGTCTTTTAGTTAGGAAGTCAGGTTATAAAGAGGCCGGCTCCATCTGTGACCAACAAGAACAGGGTAAAAGTTAATATTTTTAGAATGATGCAAAATGCCCCATCGTTCATACCATCATAAGGTTCATTACTGACGCCCGTGTAATACTTTACGCGTTCAGTGCCGTTCATCTGCATCTCCAAATCCCCTGCCATTCTTGTCAAGCCGTTCAAGAATTGTGCTATCTACAAACGTAAAGATAGAAAAGACATTCTTTGAATTGGCTCTTCCTAGGCAATGGAACACCGAGAGATATTCCTCAAAAGTAGCGTGTTTGGCATCACTACACACTTTTCTGTTATTTCCCATCAATTATGCAATCACTGTCCCCAAATCAAACGTACGCTGTCTTTGTTCTCTGCACATATTCCCCTTTTCACTTTAATTGCAGTACCTGCTGCTTTTTGTATATCAGCAGATTCAAACCAGGCAACCGATTCCGCAAGCTCGGTGGTCTAGTGGTAAGACGTCTGCACTACAAAGCAGGAGGTCGTGGGTTTCGAGTCCCACCCGAGTGATTTTTCCCACTTTCACTCGGGGGGTAACACAATGAGTATACAGTGTTTATACGTCAGGGAAGGGCAAAACCCTTTTCTTTTCTCCTCTTTGTGGTATTGTGATGGGGTGACTTGTCCTGCTGGAATTCATGGGTTTTCATGGATTATCACTTGGGGTATTTCTATTACGTCCTCTCAAACCGAACAATTCACAGGTGAATTCTCCCTGTAGTTTTTTTTCCAAGCTTTCTGAACTATAATGTGTCTTTACACTTGTCAGGAACACTGAGCTACAGGACCAGAAAGAACTCACAATCGAAATATAGTTAAGACACCGACGATTAACGAGACGCGGATTCACCTGCAATGTGTATGTCAAAGCTAAGCCAACCAGACTCGAAGATAGGTTCATGGTGAACGCACCAACCAGGGTAGCCATTCCAGCAATTAGAACCGTCGTGGCACCTAGGAAATCCTGAAAGACAAATGCACACCAGTAAAGATCGTCATTTCCGAATACTGATTTCCTCTATTTATGGGCGTAGATAGATAAGGGTCATTCCATGTCAGACCAACGCACTTTTTTACCTCATGTCTTCCGATTTTGATAAAAATTGCTGTGCTTGTAGGTCCTAATGAGCAATGAATACACACCAATTTTTAGCCCGATCCGACCTACCATGTGGTCAGGGTAGAAGCCACAAAAAAATGGCATTTTAGAGTAAAATACCACCCTTTTGGTATAAATATATCAAAACTATGGCAATTTTCATCAAATATATGTGAATTTGGTATTAAAATAATGAGGATTGCATGCTCAAATCACTTCTTTTGTCAAAATTAAATTTTATGAAAAGTAGGTCACGTGACCTTTAATATGCTATCGTGACCTTTGACCCAATTTTTGTAATAATGTATCATTCCGAAAATCAACGAAATAAAAATAACTTGCTAGAGCATGTCTTCCTCTATTAGAATCTACTAAAAATCAGTTGGGGTCTTCAAAATTTACAACTTTACGACTACTTTTGTACAGTTGGTAGGTTACAAATGAGTCAATTTATAGACTTTACATAAGAAATACACCAACACAACTTACTATTCTGTTTCTTAAGTTACTAACATTTAATTTTAGTAACTTAAGAAACAGAATAGTAAGTGGTGTATTTCAAATTAATCTAGATTTTTATGTATCAAGTACAAAGCCAGGAAAAACAAAATTCTACCTTCTGATTCCAAAGAAACTGTCCAATCAGAATATCTGGACTCGGAAGTGTGCTAACTACTAACAGTAACCAGGCCTTCACCCAGTACAGCGGACTCACGTCCAGGTGAAATTCATCTCAAAGGAACAAAATGCCAAGTCTGTGAGAGTCATTAAAGTTCAAGAAGCACAGTGATGAATGAGTAAGGTAACTTTGATTGTAATATTAAGTATTATCTTCAAGCAAACTTGAATCCTAGACCCTGATTAGTCCATCTATAGCAACAACTGTGTGATTTTATATAATATTGCACAGCTATATTGCACCCCAGATATTAAAAATGTACGTGTACATATGTTGTGTTATTTCCTGCAGAACGGACCAATACACTACATGTATGCACGTACATCTTCACCGCGTGTACGCATTTGATATCAAGTTTGCTTGAAGATAAATTGGTTATAAATCCCACTTTCGCTCGTGGAACACGGAATTATGTAGTGCATCGAGTGGCATATGGGTCACAGCATCATTGCATTATTTCATATTCCAAGCGCGCTCGTGGGATAACTAATTATCAGTGGCACCCAGGAGGGGGGGGGGGCTTGAACCCACCCCAACATTGTCAATTTGTTTGTTTGATTTTAGGCTAGTTTTTGTTGGTCCAATCTTTTACAGAAATTTGAACAAAAAACGATTTATGACCCCCCGCCCCCCCCCCCCACCAAAAGCCAAATCCTGGGTGCGCCACTGCTGATAATTTACACTATGAGTCTGGTTAGACCTCATCAGCCCTCAGAATGAGAAATTCACAAACCAAGATATATTTTAGTAACTTTAGAAACAGAATAGTAAGTTGTGTTGGTGTATTTCTTATGTAAAGTCTATAAATTGACTCATTTGTAACCTACCAACTGTACAAAAATAGTCATAAAGTTGTAAATTTTAAAGACCCCAACTGATTTTTAGTAGATTCTGATAGAGAGAGACATGCTCTAGCAAGTTATTTTTATTTCGTTGATTTTCGGAATGATACATTATTACAAAAAATGGGTCAAAGGTCACGATAGCATATTTAAGGTCATGTGACCTACTTTTCACAAAATTTAATTTTGACAAAAGAAGTGATTTGAGCATGCAATCCTCATTATTTTAATAACAAATTCACATATATTCGATGAAAATTGCCACAGTTTTGACATATTTATACCAAAAGGGTGGTATTTTACTCTAAAATGCCATTTTTTTTGTGGCTTCTGCCCTGACCACATAATAGGTCGGATCGGGCTAAAAATTGGTGTGTATTCATTGCTCATTAGGACCTACAAGCACAGCAATTTTTATCAAAATGGGAAGACATGAGGTAAAAAAGTGCGTTGGTCTGACATGGAATGACCCATAAGTGCTCTTCTGATCCCTGTCAACGGTGACCGTTGACAAACCACTTGAAATGATAATTCCATCAAGATCCGATGATGTGACCCTTGGAGTGTCTTCTGTCAGTTAGTTGCTACTTTCGTGAGAAGTCGCTACCAGCTGTTCTTTTCTCATTGTATACTCTAAAAAGTCCCGGGCCAGATTTGATACGGGTCAAAAAGACCAACAAAATGAGTCAAAGAAGTTTCATTTTGACTTTTAAAGTGTCATTTTGACTTTTAAAAGTGTCATTTTGACCCAAAAAAGAGTCATTTTGACCCGGAAAAGTGTAATTTTGACCAAGAAAAAGTATCATTTTGACCCGGAAAAAGGGTAATTTTGTCCCCCAAAATTGCATTTGACCCGAAATAGTGTCAATGTGACCCGAAAAAAGTGTCTTTTGACCCAGAAAAGTGTCAGGCCCTACAGGACCCAGTGTCCGGGTCAAATCTGACCTGGTACTTTTAAAAATAATAACAACGGGTTTTATAATAACGCTTTGAACTAAGATCAAAGCGCTTGATATTATCATTACCCCTGATCATTGGACCAATTAAACATTCCAAATACCATCTCAGCTCCCTGGGGAGCATGCAATTCGATGGTGCCTGTTAGGCGCAAGGAATTCAATCACAATAAGACCTCTACCCTCACAGGTTCCCATTTTACTCCTGGGTTGAGAGAAGCAATGAGTGACAAAGTGCCTTGCCCAAGCGCACACGCACCATAACCCCAGGCTGGACTGAACCCACAGCCCGCAGAATGCCCCAGACCACGATGCAACGAGGCCACGGCACCCCACACGACTTGTTACAGTGTAATCCCTTTTATAGCTTCTATGGACATGTACAGGACAAAATCAGATCAGTTCTCAAAGATATCGAAGAAACTAAACTAGAAAAAAGGCCAGATGATTGTCTAATTCTCCGCAGTGTAAAAACACTATATGGCACCGTTGATCAAGAGAATAACGGATGTTGAAGTGCACACAAGGCACAGGATTTTATCACAAGGCACAATATGGCTCTCCCGTTTACCTTATGTTAAACTCTTTGGATCATCACATCGCATCAAGGATTCCCCCCCTCTCATTTCAAACATCCGTTTTTGAAAGGCACACTTACCAGTCGAATACAGACCCATCGAATGACAATTTGCAGGTACATGAAGGCCGACAGGTTCCCGTTGATGCGATCAATCAGAGCCTTGAAGAAACGACCACCCGCCCTAAGTACAATGGTATCGTAAATCGCGGACTTACCAAACAATGCAGTCAAAATATATTTGAGTCCCACAAAGACATCTTTTCACCTTATTGAAAATAAAGCATGAAATACGGAAAACAAATATGGCACCCAAAACGCAGATCTCCGTGGTGGTGGTGGTGGTGGTGGGGGGGGGGGGGGGGAGGACTAAACCCCCCCCCCAGCCGCAAAAAAATGAAAAAAATGAAAAACCATGAAGAAAAAGTAGTACATGACTGGCCCCTCTTTCCGACAGCTTTACCATCTTGAGGCAAAGCTGCATCCGCCTCTGATTCATTTAGGAAACGATATTTAAAAAAAAGGAGGAAACAAAATTACCACATTTTTGGCCAGTATTTTGTTTGACTTTACTTGTTATTGCTCACACAGTCTTATGTTCTTTTCTTTGGAATCTAGCCAACGTGCATGAAAAAATATCCCACCTCCAAGCACAAGATACCTTTTTCCTTCTTTTTCTTCGGACGTTTCTCGCATGTACCATTTGTTAGTATGACCCTTTTTGTTCTCTTCACATCGATAACACAGCCTTACCTGTAAGCCCGAATCGTTGTCAGACCTGTGAGGCTTTCAGAGAAGAAGGCGAGGACGGGTGACTTGCTGGTACTGTTCAGTCGCTGTAACTCCCTGTTGAGAAGTCAAGCCAAGACCAACGTGCGATTGCAGCACAGATTTTAAAAACAGCAAGAGCTTCCCATCTAGAGTGCGATGCATTTTGAACGCGTGATATTTTTGCTGTAATATGTAAAATCTCATAAGTCTTATGTACCGCTACTTATGTTGTGAACGAAGTGAACACAGAATAGTAATTATAAGTGCAGATGTCCATGGTTAGTTGAGCCATTAAATAATGTCCTAGGAAAGGAAAGGAACATTGTGACAATAAATTTATTTGCTGACCATAACAAAAAATAACAAAATCTGAGGTGTTGCCACACTAAACGTTCCTTCATCGTAAAATCCTCTGCATAATTTGTAAAAACTAGCGGGATGAAAGCGCGGCACACGTTAATTAGGTGGAGTCATAAGTATACTATACTGTTTACTTTGACCTAAATTTGCATGTTCACCCCAAATGAGCGTGGTGAGCCTTGGTGAAGCAATTTTGCCACGTTTTATTATTAACGTTATGCTTTTCTTAATAGCGATCCGTTTTGGAGTGTTTTCATAGAGATAAAGTTGCATTATTTAACTATTCAAAGCCTGAAAGAAACAAATTTGCCCCCCCTCAAAAGCCAAACAAAACCAATAAATCATGTTTTCAAAAAAAAGCCGAACACAACAAACAAATAAATAAATCATGTTTTCATGTGCCAACCGTGACTTAAGAGGATAGTGAAATCGGAGCATATTAATACAACTATGGAGCTATAAGAAATCTCCATAAACCTTTGCAATTTGTGTTTCCGCACACTTCCTAAGCCTTTTACAAATAACAACGTGACATACAGACATCAGACAGACAGACATCTGACAGACAACGTAGGACCTTTTAATATAGGATGCACGCGGACGGTACTAAACAATAGGTGTGTTGGACATGCGCCCTATTCGTATATCCAGCTCAGGAATGGCGTCTTGTTGGTCTCCCGATTGGTTTAAAAGACACAACTTTAACTGACAGAAATCTGTAAACTATTATAAATATAGTGTGGTGTATACACTCTAAAAACTAAACACTATCTTGCTATCAATTTGTAAACATGTTTAGATGCTAAACATTATGTGTCCAATTCCTAAACATTAGTGTTCACTAGCTAAACACTATCCATCCTTACGCTAAACATGTTAAGTATTTAGCATGTTTACAAACTGATAGCAAGAAAGTGTTTAGAAAGTGTTGAATTGCTAAACACAGTTTTTGCAGTGTACCGGTTGAATCATGGTGGACTAACAGCCATTGAGGACTAACACCCTTCTTGGCTGAAACAGTAACCAAAATAAAGTCTCATTCACTGATGAAGTCATTGTTTGTAAAGTCCCGAAATTCTTACCTAGAGGATGCCAAGAAGTACATTTGCAGGACAATGAATGCAATGGCAACGGGGACAAAGAATGCGATGAAGATCGGCATGACGATCGTGTTGACAACCACAGAGGACACCACGTTCAAAAAGGTTGCAATGACGACCAGGATTGTCTGGGATATTTTCTGAAAAAAAATGCAAATTATTGAAGTTTTGATTACACTTTAGAAAAGAGGAGTAAAAAAAATGAAGAAAAACCGCACAACTACTAACAGCCATAGGCAAGGGCTGATCAAAGGCTGGGATAGCTAAATACCGAATAAATATAGATATTATGGCAAAAAAATCCTAAATTTCCAGGAGGACAAAATCACTCTGTATCACACGTCTTGATTCACTGTTTCAGGCCTTTGGTCTTTTAATGCGTTTACAGCAACGCTTCAACCACTTGCAAAACAAAGGCTTTTTGCAATTCGTTATTATAGTTATTATAGTCACTGCCCTATGAATGTTCTCAAAGGGGATAAATCTCGAAGAGCTCTAATGAAAACACCTACCACATCTATCAGTGCGGTGTCGTTGGAGAATCGATTCAGGACACGTCCGATTGGGACAGTATCGAAAAATCTGGATCGAAACAGAAACTTTAACATTTCAGCTTTGAGAAGCATATTGAAAAAGAGCGAGATATAGTGAAAAATTAAGTAAATCTCAATCGGGTCGGGTTTTTTTTTTCACGGGACAACACAGCGCCTTATTCTGTAAGTTAAAAAATCCACCCCAACCCCAAATGTTAGTGTTTATCATTATATATACAATATTTTTCGCTGTTGCTTTACAAGCCATCCCCATAAGGAATACGAAAGATATTCCAACGTTGTATAGCCTAATCCATCACAAAAGTCAAATCATAATTACATTCATCTGACGTAAAAAGGGGGTGAACACTAAAGAATACTCTTGTCACAATTCATGTGACTTGTGACTTTGTGACTTTGTGACGTAACTTGTTGGGACACGGGCGGACTTTAAAAAAAATCGTTTCAAGTTCTGGCCTTGAAATCTAAATATCGCCATACCAATGCAATTCTTTAAATTCCCAGTAAACACTAGGAGGAAATAGCAGTTAGTATGACATGTCTTCAGTTGAGATAAACCAGTGTGTGCCTACACCCAAGTACAAATCTTCACATAGAGACGTATATACAGTATGTCCCCAAAAAAGTTGATTGTGCAGATGCTCCTAATCCTTGGTCTGAATTCCTATGAGTTTCATTTAATTTCAGTCAATCATCACTACACAATTATCAGTTGACCACAACACCATTTTTGGACACTGTGACCAAGTTCCTTGCCTTATTCAATTTCAGTGCTGTTTTAGGTAAGCTGTGTAAAATCCTTGATGTTGTGAAAAGGGCTGCAGTTGAGATTGGAATCATTTGCCTTGCTATCAGTCATCATGGCAAGACCTCAGTTTAATGCTCCAGGGCAAACGATTCCAATCCCAAACGCATCAGCCTTGTTTTCACAACATTACGCAGCACTCACCTTCATTAAGGCAAGGCAATTGGTCATAGTGTCCAAAAATGTTGTTGCGATCAATTGACAATTTTGCAGTGATGCGTGGCTGAAATTAAACTCACAGGGGTTTAGGCAATGGATACGGAGTATCTGCACAATCGAACATTTCAAAATTCAGGTCATGGTTTTGTAGTTATTTCGGAAACAGTCAGACGGATACTTTACTTGGGACATACTGTAGAGTCTGGTGGCACAGATTCCATTAGCTATTGGACCAAGGTGATCGGATCAGTAAAACCGGAGAAGAAAATCTTCCAACAGCCAACCTACCTGAGAGGGACTCTAATAATATTCCGCAACAACCTGTGATGTAAGCCTTTGGCGGCCCGCATGATTCCCCAGACTAAACAGGAAACGGTAAGTATCCGGCATACCAAGTACCCTATCTCGTAGGCCACAAATATCCCAAGGTATTGCTCGACTTGCTGATTGACGTAGGTCTGAAAAAATATTAAAAATAAATGAACTGTCTGCTATATTCATGCTCAAATATTTAAGGTTTACTAAACGCTGTGCGTGTATTCAGCAGCGACACCGAAGAAAGCGAGATATCTGAAAAATGAAGGAACAGAAAATAGAAATATAGGGAAACCAGCTGCTTGCGGGCTATTTTCACTCACAAATCATCGAGTATCTCACCTCAAATATATTTCCATGTAGTATATCTTATTGGCCATCAGCCTGGGGGTTTGGTCAGTATCAAACCAGGGCATAAATGATTATAATGAGCATGCGCACGGTATACCGCCCCTAGAGTGGTAACAAGCATTTTGATGGACATTTTGAAAAAAGGGTGAAAACACCCAAAAACCTGCCACAGCTGCAATGCTATCACATATTTTCCAACTCCGAAGGTGTATACCTTGCCAAAAATTGCTATGACGATTATTCCCCTCGTTTGATACCGGTGGCCAAAATAAATTAATAGTTTCAATACAGCGTCCTTTCTAATATAGTTCACCGACGGCTAATCATTAAAACAAAATCCTCAGGTATAAATTTTATAATGGTTCCGTAATTAAAGGTAATACACAACATTTGTAAACGTAACCCTTGGAAATAATTGTGAAATTATTTATTTGACATAAATTGAATAATTGTCTCAAGCATCTTGTGAAATCATGGCACCCTGTGTGCTGTCATTTACAAGAAAAGTGGACATTTTTTATAAATTTCCAAAGTTGGTCAGCCAACCATCGTTGGTAAATAACTGACTTTTTTTCAAATACTGCCCCCACTTTACAAAATTTAGTTAGTCCATATATTTTGTTTGCAATCGATTACACATCCATAAACTGTGCAAGCGTTTCCTGACCTGACAATTTCCTGATATCTATAAATTGCTCCGTTTCAAAGAAGGGTCAGGGAACCAGACTACAAGAACAGCATTTTTTTCCTAGATTTTTCCAGCATCCGTGAGCACAAAACTCCCAGCAAGTCAGTGTAATAATATTTCATATAAAAACCGACCCCCAAATCTGACCAATTCTGAAAATTAGAGCAAAAGCAAATGTTTTTTTCCCCTTGTATACTCCATTCACATGCTGGTTAGACAATTTATGCATGGAAATGAAATTATTATCTCGGAGACTGTTAATAACTGAGGCAAGAAACTGTTTATTATAACAGATTATTTTGATACAATCATGTGGATTTTGTTTTTGTTGGGAGGGGGAGGGAGAATTGTTACTCTCTACTCACTATATTGCCAAGACCGGACTCAGACCATTCCGACAGCTTAAAATTGGCAGCAATGTTGAGGCCCGCGTACAACCCGGATAGGCAAGCAGCGATGAGGGCAATCAACGGGCCGAAAATCTGGCCGTAATACATGTAGATCTTGTAGGACACCGTGCCTCGTTCAATCTCTTCCTTCTCCATCAGTGTTCCAGCGGCGTCTCCCTTGAGCCCTGTATCGGTGAACGCATTCTCGTTGAACAGGGCAAGAAAATTACCCTTCAAAACCTAGTGTTTTACTTATAAACGCTTTTGTTGTAACAATGTATAAACATTAAATGCAAAAAAATAGTTAGTGGCCTGACGTTTCGACCCTAGCAGAGTCTTTCTCGAAGGCTTAAACATTTTCTTGCTTTTAGCCTTCGAGAAAGACTCTGCTAGGGTCGAAACGTCAGGCCACTAACTATTTTTTTGCATTTATACCATAGGTCCTTTTGGTTGGTAAGCAGTTTGCAACAGCTAATTCTATTTTTAATGTATAAACATTATAACACGTTTAAGAGTCTCAATTTTGGGTCGCATTCATTATGCAGGTATCCATGTACCAAAAACAAAGTCTCGAACAGCCGATTGAAGTTTTGCAGATGTGTAACAGAAATTATTTTACAGAGTGAGTAAAAAAAAAAGGAAAACCAAATGGTGCCCCTATTTTTAAAAGAATTTTTGCATGTAGCGCTTCCAGATCTTGGATATGAAAGCCCAATTAATAAGCTCTCCTTTAGGCCAAAAAAAAAAGTCTCCGGTTTCTGGTATGGAGCTTGCCCCAAAAGTGGTGCGGCGACGCGGCTTTTTACCTGTTGTTTTTTTTTTACCTTTTTTTTTTTTTTTTTGGCTTTAAATGTCGGCTGATGACTGCAAATGGTGCCCGACTAAACTTAGTGCAAATATATGGGAGTCCAGAGAGGCCACATAAAGCTTATTCTCGATCATAACCCCATCTAAAAACACGTTAAAATTGTGCAGCAGCAGGATTCCAGTCAAACCAGTGAGTTTGGCGGTTTTGAGACATCATCTTGTATTGAAAAAAAAACTTTTTCATTTTGCCGACGCGCATGGCTGCGGCGACGCGCGCGCATACCAGAAACCGGAGACTTTTTTTTTTGGCCTTTGTGCAAGAATCATTCGAATCGCTCAAGTACTTTTCTAATCATGGATTTTGGAACACAAACATCGTTTTTTAACCTTGTCTCCGGATCACATTAAGGTACGTGATATTTATGTACAAATGAAATTATGTCGTATCCTGAAAATTATATCAGAATAATCCCAAAGTCTCCGGGGTAGCCGAGAAGAAGGCAAGGCAAGACTATAACTCTTGACATTATAAAGCATTTTATTTAACATTTGAAACAGCAGGTTTTCAAATAAATGTTATGATAAGTGCCAGTTAGCATGGTTATGAGAATGTTCTGATGTGTTTTTTGATATGGGAATAGTTTTGCTGAAATATCGCTTACCTTTATTGCGATTAGTGGACAAGGTTGAAAACGGTGTTTGTGTTCAAAATTCGATAACTGGAAAAGTAGGATGAGCGATTCCATGAGCTTATTAATTGGGCTTTTATATCCTAGATCTGGAAAGCGCTTCATGTAGAACTTCTTCAAAAAAAATAGGGGGCAAACCGCAGCAGAAGTTGAGTTGCGATAGACGCGGCTACAACGTGGTCGAGCCAAAGGCGTGTAATGGCGCCTTAAGGCCGGTTCATACTTCATGCGAATGCGATTCGAATTTGACGTCACAAAGCGAAATCCCCAGATTTGAAATGTGTTCATCTTTTGCAATTCGCATTGCGAAAACTTGCTCTGACGTCACAAATTCGCGTTCGCGCTCGCTTTTGCGCCGAGTATGGACCGGCCTTCTGGCTGCTGCCAAACGACCCATGCCTAACAACGGAGCATAGCAAGGTCGAAAGTGCTGAACTTTATTTTGGTAATGAGACAACTTGTGCTCTACTTTGGTCCGGACTTGTGACGGACTCGACCAACAAACATCACCTTTGGATCGGTGTCCTTCTGTCTTGACCTGCCGTTCCATCAGCAGTCGGTCCTGCTTCATCGATTCCGACTCGTAGCCGGACATTTCCGCCTCGGCCTCGGACTCCGTAGCCAGCTTGACCGCCTGGTTGTACTCCGAGTACATGTCCGGGTATGCCGTGATGATGTCGTCCAGTGTGCCCTGGGCGACTATCCTACCGTCTTCTATCTTGATAATCTGAAGAAATGCATGTCATAGATAATCAAGATGGTTGAAGATAGCAGTGTAAGAACAGGGCCTCGGTCTCTCATGAAAATGCTAAACTGCAGACATCTGTCTGTGCAAATTCACACTAAAACAAGCTGTACCAAGATCCACCGTTGAAATGGATTTTGGAATGGATTTTTGGAAAATAAGCTTTTATAAATAGGCAAATACGAGTCAGCTTGTGCATACCCCAGGAAACGAATTTGAAATCAGATATGTGATAAATGTTTGCCAATTGATTAAATCGAATCCTTGAACAACTTCTTTCCCTAAGGCCTTTGACAAAGTTGAACGAACGAAAGGACAATCTGAATTTGAATGAACTTATTTATCGAAAGAATAGTGTAATAACAAAATCAAACGACTTTTTTAAATTTTCGAATGATAATATAAAGGAGCATTCATTTAAAACAAATTTGAATGGGTATCGTGTTAAACTGAACGATTGTTTTGCTGAAATTGGCCGGGAAAAACTATATATTGTACATTAAACACTGACGCATTTGCTGGCCACCAAATCATCAAACAATATTTGACGGTGAAATTACGGTAAAAAAAACCACCAAATATGGGCGACGTGTAAGCTTGGCCATATTTCAAACTTCAGGCCTGAAAGAAATTGACGAATACACGAACAAAGGAATTGAATTGGTTGTTTTCTACGGGTATCACCTAAGTAACAAGACATGGATCACTGTTATGGGCTATAAACTAGAAAGAACAGAGGAGAAGGAAACTAAATCAGAGTGACAGGACATTATCTGTTCACGTTTCTTATGAATTATGAAAGGGTTTTGGTAAAAGGGAAACAAGAACCAGGAGTGAATTCCTGCAGAGTGACGCGGAACAGAGCAAGTTCGTTCTGGAACTATAGTTAACGATCGAACCGTGGTTGGTCAACGATGCTTGTATTAGTGGTGATTATTTGCCAACATTAATGAGGTTGGTTGGTAAAATGAGGCTGACAACTTTTATGATCATTGTTTGACTCGAGGAACTTTAGCGCGTCACAAATCAACCATTAGTCGACCACCCATGGTGCTTGATCGAACTTGCTCTATTTGGTTTTGGTGATTTTTGGATTTCACCCAAATCAAACCAAGGGCGGATCCATTTTTTTTAATGTGACATCGCAATAAAGGCAGGCAATGAGTACACCACCATCTTTTCCTCAAAAAAACATTGGTTAAAGTGGTCAGAAATTGCCTCAGATCGCACCACAGAGCATCTAGAATCCAACACATTTTTCGGGGCCCTTAAGCGGGTCCCGAACCCCACGCCCTAATTTTCTGACCCACTTTTTTGGGGAACCAAAATGTTTTTTGGCCCCCCCCAAAAATTGTGTTCTGGATCCGCCCTTGAATCAAACAGCGTCCTCCTACTGCGTCTTTCATACCTCAAATAGGCTAATGGAGGAAAGGTTTGTGAAGCTTACCAGATCGGCTCTGTTGAGGTACTGCAGCTGGTGCGTGACCAAGACCACGGTCTGTCGGTGGCCGAGAAGGAACTTGCTGATGGCTTCCTTGAATAGTTGGCTGCCAACGTGGACGTCCAACGCGGACAGCGGGTCATCCTGCAGTTGTGTAACCGAGTTCAAGTCCATCACAAGTCAATTCACAAATCCGGTCACAAGAAACAGTGGTTGAACAGTAACAAAGGAATGCCTTGCCACAGTTTAAAGCTCGTGATTGGATTACTTGTTAGGACTTGTGACGGACTCCACTACAAAACTATCATCCTGAGATCTGATTACCATAACATGCATGCAGTTTGCTACTTCATGGCAAAGTGGATACCCAGTAATAACGCCAAGTCACACATAATCGCCCATCAATTGCAGCAGTTGTATAACTATGGTCCATTTTTAAGGGGTACCTAGGGTCCTAATTATCTTGAGCAGGGCAATAAATGAGTGTTCAGGTTGTTTCAAAATCTCCGCTAGACATGTCCGATTTTGTCCTCTTTGTTGGCTGGGGACTGGGGATGGGTTTGGACAAGAAGGATCTCGGTGACGCTCTGAGGTACTCCAATAATTGCAAGTCATCTGGAACCAAGTCCAAGTCAAAAGGTCAACTATGCAAATGATCTGTGTCAAATGAATATCTTCGTCAATGATCATCCCCGTTACCTGTGCCTTGTCTCGAATGATCCTTTTCACCTTGAATAGATCTTACGCGTTACGGCCATCTTAGAGGGCGTCTTTTGTTATTTTAATTCAGTAACAATGAAAACACAAAATGTTCACCCATGCATATCCCGGCAGAACAAAGGTATTGTCCTATTTACAAGATGGCTGCCTCTCATATTCACACTTTTATTAACTTATAAACCCATAATAATGCAAACTGGTTTGGAGCAGTAGGTGGAATACAAACTGTAATATATTGTACACTTCCGGAACTATTTAACTGAATGTTTTACATATAGATGGACTGATATTCAAGTATGTGATGATATCATGCCATATGAGCACAATAAGCTACCGTTCCACGAGGGCAGCTCCATGTGTATATATTTACTCACCAGAATAATGATGTCTCTGCCGGAATACACGGCTCTGGCTACGCTGACCCGTTGCTTCTGGCCACCGCTCAGGTTGATTCCTTTCTCCCCAATCTCTGTCTGATCGCCAGCAGGTAAGATATCAATGTCAGGCTTCAGGGCGCAGGAGGCAATCACGCGATGGTATCTGACGAGATAATTGTACGTTCTTTGAACAAAGTTGTACGTTGTAGTTAAAACTTCGCACGGTCCACACATAATGGTTTGCGACTTTTTCACCTCAGAAACCCCCACCTTAATGATTTACAGTCGATCTCTAAATTCGTAAGTTCTCAATATATACTGTTCATAAGTTTAACTAGGCCACTGTTCGGATATAGGTACGAAGTTTGAACAAAATGATATAGCTTAGTGTTGACTGTTCAGTTAACAGTTGATGGAGACTTTTCCTTTAAATTAGAGATTGCCACATGAAAGATAAAATATTTTCAAGATCACCTTTTGGTATCCAATTGAAGTGAGAACAGAACATTGTCTAGCAGGGTGCCGTTAACCAGCCATGGCTTCTGGGCAGCCAGAGCTATCTGGTTCCTATCTCTGTACAAATATAGACAAATCAAGACACCCATTAGGCACTGACGCTGTAAAAGTGATCACATTTTTATTAGAAGAGGTAAGGCAAACTGGCAGATCAAGGGCACACACCGACACATCTTTGGTATTTTTGATAACACATTAAGAAGACGGCTCACTCTACATCGTACGGATTGTGGCCGAGAGGTCAGGGTTCATGACTCTTGATCAGAAGGTCAGGGGCTCGAATCAAGCTGCTGGCCGTATGTTGTGTCCCCGAGCAAGCCACTTCGGCCCAATTGTCCCTCCCAATGATCCATGCACTCAGGAGTACACCAGGATTAGCTGGGGAGTAACCTACGATGGAATGGCGTCACATTCAGGAAATACAATGTATTCAGCCGTTTCGTGACAAGGAAACGGAGATAAACCTTCCAAAACGTACCTCCAAAAACATCCTCGCGTGAGTATAATTGGAAGCTACATTGGCTGGTGACATATTTTAATTTACTTTCATTATATTTCACGCATTTCAACACAGGTCCCGAATCATCTTTATAGGAATTTTACGTCTTTCTATTTGTGTACAAAATGAAGCCAATCAGAAGACAGGTTTTGCTTTTTGATACATTCCGAGTTGTAGTCAAGTAATAGACACAAGTGAAGATGGAAGCAGCCGAATCCAATCCTAATAGACGTGCGTATTACTGCTAGGTCCCAGCCAAGTAATGGAACGCAGCTGTAACATACCTTAGTTGAACTGATCCAGAAACAGTTGTCATTTCACCCAAAATAGCGGACAGCAAAGAGGATTTGCCGCTACCAACTTGACCAATCACAATCGTAAGTTTTCCTGAAATAAATAAGAGGTATTTTTTTTCAAGGCAAAGTTATAATACAAACTCAACAAAGAATGAAGATATTGTTTTACTGTTGCTTCTAAAAAAAATGGACAATCCAAATTGACAATGCATCTGGCTTTTGTCTGAGCAACAAAAAAAAAAGACATACCTTCCGGTATTTCCACGTTAATATTGGAAAGCACGGGCGTGTCTGTTGCAGGATCCCAGAGAAAATTGCCATTCGAGATCTTCAAAATAAAGATAAATTTTGATTAATTTGTTATTTCAGTTGCACGTTTAAACAGGCATTACAAATGTTTAACCTACAGACCTATAGCAGGTTTTTTTGTACGGCTATAAAATCACCGTCTTCATCAGTCAAACTGTGCCACAGTAAGTCGCAAAAAATGCGTAATGTAGCATTTGTCTATGGCAAAAGGTACAACGAACCCAACCCATCAAAGCTGCAGGTTTTGTTTAAATCTATTGGGATAGGTACAGTACCCCTAGACAAAATCTTTTACATTGGGTTTGGCATACCTCCAGAAATCAAGTCCATCTGTGTGTGTACAACTTCCCATGTGGGTGTTGAAATTTGCCTGAATGGGTACGGTTCCTAGTAAATTATGCTGGTGAGTTAGGTTAATCTTGCTGTGAGCTCCAATTCCAGGAATGTACCAAGTTTCACAATGCACTGGTTGGTATAATGATATCAAGATATTAAACGGGGGCACGCGGGGGCAAAGAAATCTTTTGGGGGGGGGGGGGTGGCCCCTACCCCTGTAGTTACGCCACGACAATGCCTAACCATTACCATTTGTACACAAATTATGTGTGAGTAATTTAGTGTCACTAAATTTGTTTAAATCCGCATGGCCGATGCCTCTGCAAGAACGCCACGCAGTGTTGTAGTTGAATCTTACCAAGTTTAATACAAGTCCATCACATGTGGTAGAGTCACAATTAATCAAGTGTCAAGTCAAATCACAAGATATTGAAATGAACTGTGACAAAAGATTCCTTTGTCATTTGCAAACCCCCTGTTACTATGTGACAGGACTCGTGAAAAATAACTTTCCATTTATTTGTGACCGGACTAGTGGTGGATTTGAAAGGCACCAAAATCACATGTTGGTATACCTTTATGGCAACGCTGGGTTTCATTTTCTGGGGCGAATGCTTATGAAAGATGATGTCATGTAGTGGGCTCTTGCTAGTTTCCCCCCTACGACTGCCACGATTATCCGAGCTGAGCAAGTACGATCTCTCCGTGTCGGCACTGTCCTTGTATTCCTCTACATTACTGCTGTTGCTAAACAAGTCTGGGTTCTGGTCGTGGATTGCGCTGTTAGCCTGCAGTCAATAAAAAAGGACCAGATCATTCTTCCTCAATTCATTAAAACTACCACTTGCATGAATGAAGTAATGTGCGTTGCGTCCAAATTATGGATGGTTCCAAAGTTGCAATAATTGTTTCTTTTTTTTTCTTGTATTATTCTGAAAATTATGTGTTTTCTCTATCTACAATTTTGATTGGCTTATTTCGCTATTGTACTTAAGCGTTCAGGCTTTGCCTTGGTATAGTAATGCCCTAATGCAATAGTGATAAATACCAAGTTTACGTTGATGAAGTGTAAGAAAAAGCCTGTGAAAGCTTGTTACCCACGCTCACTTTTGTAAACCTAATGTATACCGGTATGTCACGGAAGTATAGTACCGGTATTTAAGGAAGTGCAGCGTATTATGGTCAGAGTTTTCTGCAATGATCAATGTCATTTACATTGCGGTTGTAATCGGAAGTGTTGACGCCAGAGCACGAGCTGAAAAAAGTGAACATCGCAAACTTTTGTATTGTCAGTCCCGAAAAAGTTGACCTCAAGTACATACCGCCCCCTCACGTTGACCCATGCTACGTTGACCCCTGCTGTCGTTCGGCACCTCCGCAATCTCAGGCCCTGCAAGGAATTTCTGTACCCGGCCGGTGCTGACGACGCCATTGATGACAAACAGAAGGGAAACCGGCAGGAATATCAGCGGCAGAAAGAGCATGTTGAAAAGGGCTAGGGCGGAAAAGGTCACATCCGGGTTGAGCGGTTTACCGGTGAGGGCGCTGTACGTCCCGAAACCCTGGATTGCAGAGGGTAATACGACGATTTAAAATATTGATGCAATAACTTGAGACTATAATGGTGATTCGAACATCCTGCCATCTAATCAAGTCAGAAATCTCGGCATTATCTTTGATTCATCTCTATCCATGGAACCTCACCTAACATCAATCTCTAGATCAGTCTGCATGTCGATCTGTAACATCGGACACATACGAAAATATCTTGACAAACATACAGCTGAAATATTTGTTCACACTTTCATCACAAAAATGACATGGGCAATTCACTATTGTAATGGCATTAACCTCAATCAACTAAAGCGTTCGCAGCGACTACAAAACATCGGTGCCAGACTAATCTCTCTCAACATTCTCACATCACTTTTGAATTAGCAGATCTCCACTGGCTTTCAGTATCATGCAGAATCAAATACAAACTTGGCCTATTCGTTTACAAAATCCTCCACAACAATGCGCCGGAGTATCTCATCGACCTCATCCACCCGAACTCAACAGCACGCACCGGACTCCGCTCCAGTGAGCTCATGATGCTTCATGAGCCCATGACCTACACTCTTTGGGGTGACAGATCCTTAACTGCAGCGTCAGCCCGAGTGTGGAACCAACTCCCTCTTGCTATCAAATCATCTCTATCCATCACAACATTTAAGACAAACATAAAATCTCACCTGTACAAACAAGCTTACTCTAACAACACAAAATCCGAACTTGACTTTCTCCTCAAGCGCCATGAGCGCCTTTTAAGGCGGATACCGGCGCTTTAGAAATGTTCTTCATTAATATTTTATTATTGTTATTAAAATTATTTATAAAGTAGCTTTCCACCATAATTTAATATGAGGTCTTTTTTTTTATATTGCAACTCACCAGAATTGTCACAAAAACCGGTGTGGAAAAAGTCGAGACAACTAGGAAATAAAACAACACCATAAATAAGCACATTAAACCATTTGGTTTGAAATCTAGCTATCCAGAAGAAAAAGATAAGGTTATGACATCAGCAAAATGCATATCAGAAATAAGAGCACCCTTTTTAGTACGAGCACCACTTACAACAAACACTTCCTCTCAGTTGGTGCCTCACTTTTACGAACCCTTCTTAGTACGAGCTCCACGTATAACAAAAACTTTTGACAATAGGAAAGAATTAACAACTTGTTTCGTGTTAACAGTCCTTGTATTACTTTGTTTCAAACCAAAGAAATCGTGCACTTTCAAATATTTACGTGTGCAGATGTAGGCAGCGCCGATCTTGTACAAGTAATGGAGTTCATTTCCCCTGATGACTTCGATGGCCTTGCAGTACAGTCCTTCCCAGGCGTACAGCTTCAGCAGCTTGATCCCTTGCAGTAACTCGTTGGTCTTCGAAAGGCGATTGTCGGCGAATGACTTCAAGGTTTAACGAGAGAGAGGAAACTCATGAAAAAATTGTCTTGAATGCGGCCGAAGATGGTTGGAAACATCTATTATTTTTGTGTTTAATCTCAAATGGCCAATCAAACGTAAAAGTGCTATCCCGTGACATAAATCCTGGCCATGATGTGGATATATCCGCCTGTTTTTTTGTTGTGGGGGGGGGGGGAGGGGGGATGGGCCGCAGGTTTATCCCCAATATATATATTTTTTTTTTGGGGGGGGGGAAGGGGGGAGATGGCTACTAGTTCATCCCCAACATATATTTGTACTGGCCAAAAATATACTGTGATCACGACGTCCACTCTTAAGCCCGCAACACCAGAAATATATTTGCTAATATTTAAGCGAATTGTAAAATTAAAAGCAACAAATGCAATCTTTAAACTGAAAAATAATCAATGTGAAACACCTGAAATGGACACACAATTAGCACTGTACAATAGGTACACACTATGTATGCATGTAAGATCTGCTGCTGCCACATAGGCCCAGTTGTCACAGTGGAAAACATAAGCAATATTCTTGAAATGAGACTTGTTTCAGTTTTTTTAACCACTTTTCCAGACACTTGAAGGTCAATTCTGACATCACTACCGTTGAGATTCCAATTTCTCTTTGAAATTCCAAAGCTAAACTCACAGGATGGATTGGTATCCCTCACCGTTGCGTTACTTAAAAACAGAAATGAACCAAAAAAAACCCCAACTATATACCAGCCGTTTCTTTTCCTGCTTGCCCATAAACTGAGCGATTTTGACCTGACACGGAGTAGCTACCAGGAACACGCTGGCGGCAATCAGGGCTGAAGGTCCCATCTGGAGGTACAACAAAACCAGATTGACCACGATCTGCGTGAAAAGTGTGAAAACAACAAGAACTGTCAAAAGCGCAAATACTTGTTTCAATATTAAATGAATTTATTTGAAAAAAAAAATGGGTTCGTAAATGTTTAATACACAAAGGTTATCCGAACCTGAATTGGAGCAGCAATCGCCATGTTGATATTTTGAAACATATACTGGATGGAGTCTTGGTCCACTGACATGTGGTTGGTGATCTGACCCATGTGCATTTCGCCGCTGGAGATGGCGACGGTGGACAAGCGCAGCGACTTCTCGTAAACCATGGCCTGAATATGGGGATAAAAAGAGGATAAAAGTCCAATCATAGTAATACACCAACGAGCCTTATAAAAGCTTTTGTGTAGAGCTATCTTTGCCAACACATGGTAGGCACTTTTGCCTACCACGAGTTAGATATCGATGGAACGTCAATGTTGCAAAAAATAAACAATAGTTATTAATTCTTCCAAACGTATCATTAGGTAATTGAAAAAAAACCCGACAAGGACTCAATAAAAATGCCTTTTCCTTACATAAGGATGGTGTTAATATGCAATTTTGGGCAAAAAAGCTTGACAACCACAGCTTTAATTCATTTCCTAGTGTCCGCCTATATAAAATGGCCCTCAATGTTCAAAAACGGAAGAAAGGTCTATACATATCTACACAGCAGAAACACTGCATTACTTCGGCTCGGGCGTGACTGCAGATTTCAACAGTTTGATTGTTTGATAGTAGCAATGGTTGGGTGGTAATTGTCGTATACGTAATTTTTTGTATAAGGTCGTGTGGTTATTCTCAGAAATCTCTCAGCTATCTCCCAGATATCTGATTTATTCATTCCAAAAATGATATTGTATTATTGGTGGAACTACAAAATTTGCATTCAGTTGTGTAGTCTGACTATACTGTTTTCAGTATACATATAGACCCTGTGCATCCCCAGCCATCTTGGATGTATCGAAGACGGCTAGTCATACATGTTCCTGTGCAACAAAAACAAGCACCTCTAGCGATGATCTACACGAACAACAAATACAGGCATACTTCCACTGATTATTACCTGGATAGCAGCACCCACATTCATCCCCTCTATGATGCTGATGTAGAAGTGTGTTTGCAGGCAGACTGAGCTTGCCAATGCAGCAAAGAACATGACCATAACGAGCACAAAGCCATTTTGGAAGAACTCCTCGACTTTCACATTGTGTGGAGCGATCGCCTCAACAAAAATCAAATCAGTTGCACTTAGAATTGGGTTTAAAAATGTCACTAAAGACAAGAAGGCGACATGATAAAACAATCATACCTTAGACTGATGGGTCTCCTATACCCTGGGTCCTTTCTCTACTGAGACTGCAACCCCACTGTTCCACTTTATTGGGCACACCAAGCTTGCTCTGTGATCCTAGCTTCTTGGCATCCACACAGGATGCAAATTCACACTTCACGCTACTAAAGTGTTTACTTTCTTAGAGTTTAGGCACTCTCCTGAAGACGGTCAGAGCATACTGACCGGAACGTTGAGTTGATACCTCTGGTTCTTTTCAGAACCATTCTCTTAGCTGAGAAATTATTCGCACACGGTGTTTCCGCAAACCTTTCATTACATAGTATCTCCACCATGCAAAGCCTCAAATCTTACTTACGATAAAACAGAATGCAACTGTATAATAGGAGGAAAAAACGACTTTCTAAATGCAAGACACACACCAACAAAACATGTTATATGACACAAGAAAGTACACTGCACACATGGAAACAGTTCAACGTCCAACATACCTCTGCATTGTTGGCCGGGGTTTCGATGGTCTGCACGTAGACCGTTACCAAGCCCAAAACAAGGGGCCCGACGAAGTTCAAAGACTCTCCCAGCAATTTCAGTACTCCTGCCAGGAGCATCCGTCCGCCGTATACCTTCCAGTAAATCTTAAAAAGCGATGCCTGCTTTCCCACCTTACGTGCCTTTTCCTGAATCAGGGAGAAAAGATTAGTGTATTTAAGGCGGATATGTTTCTGTGGAATCCCTAGCTTCGTCTTTCTCCATTTCTACTTCGAAATTGTTCAAGAGAGACTTAAATATTTAAACTAAGTCAAAATACTCTTCCATATTGGCCAACATAACTGAACCAGAATGTGGATCTTGATTCTCAACAATCTGTAGGGTCCTCTTTTTTGACATCGTCTTCAAAGGTCTGTATGAGTTCTCCTGCTTTTGTGCTCTAACTCCTACTAAAACAAAAGCCTCGGAGCTCAGGCTTGATTTGTCTCAAATTGATTTGTTTCAGAAAATTGTTTCTACTCAAAAAAGTATTAAGTTGATTCAAAACCCACCGCTTCCTCCCTGAACACATTACGGAACCTATCATGGTTAGCTTTGGCCTTGTGCCGGTCTGGTACCACGCCCAGGTCACTCAACTCCAGGTGCTTCTTGTAGCCCAACGCCAGGAGCCAGTTCACCCACCAGAAGGTCAGCGAAGAGGCGATGTTCACGTTGTAGTGCATGCACTTCAGGTCGGGCTGTTTGAGGTCGTTGGGAAGTCCTTGGTCGTCGTGCCGGTAACCGCATAACTGGCAAAACAAAATGTGAGTGTACCTTGCTATTGCTGGATTGTACCTTGTTGTTGCTGGACCCGACTGACCAGCCTCTTGTCCTCTGTGAGGCTGACTGACTGACTGACTGCATCACTGAGTTTAATAACGTCCTTTACTGAGACTTTGGGTCCATAGATATAGTCAATGCAATAGTTGTCAGTTGAAAATCAAAGTATGCACAAAACGTGAATCAACTTTTGGTCAACTATTCACCCCCTGATTACATTCAAGTATAAACACTTTTTAATGGATGAATGTCAGACTTCTAACATTGTTTCCGGATCTGTAGGTTTTCAACACAAACAGAACAAGTGGTATTATGTTTCTTTTAAAAGGCATATTTATTACAGCTTACCTTTGTCCTGATGACGTTCATTTCTAGAAAGATGAACAGGGCGTATATTGCCAGTTTGATGATGGTTAAGTCGAAGAGAAGAACGTGTACGTTGATGTCGTTTTGAAGTTGCAAGTTGAGAATGCGGACGACTTCGCAGATAAGTGAGAAGATCCAATAAACCATCAGCAGTACAGACATGGCCGGTGTCTGCCACAGCTCCATGTGATGGTAGTAAATCAAAGAAACACCAACAGCTACGAAGGCCACAATGCTGTGAATGTAGAGATGAGGCTGGGTGGGCTGCTTCCAGGCCTGGTAGGTCTCATCCGTCATAATACCTTCACCGATGGAGGCAATAATCAGGACAAGAAGGAGGACGGATACCAGCCATCTCAGGCTGTGGCCCGGATAGACCAAGAGATAGTTGGTGTGGACTCGGCGGTAGCTAGTGCAGCATCCCAAGACGAGAAGAATGAGCGATGATAGGAGGAGGAAGGCGGCGTGAGGGATGGCCACCAGACCATCCACTAGACACGTGTTGCTATGGAAGTCATCTTCGATGTATGAGTAATTTAACCCGCAGAGCCACTCCCAGTTCACCGCCATGCTTTGATAGAATGTCTAAAATCTACCAGAATTTGAAATCACATTTTAGTTCAAATCACATTTTAGTTCATATTATATTTAGTCCTAGATACAGGCGCATTTTTTTTTACCGTGCAGTGCAAGATCGTCAGTGCATCATATCATGCGTTTGAATGAATATTGGTACTGAACAGTGCAATTCAAAACCCGATCCACATAACACGGCAGCGTTTTCAAATACACACAAAGTCAATATCGGTTCCAGTACAGGGTCCAAGTTCTATATTCATGTTGATAAAAAAAAGGTGTTCTAATTTGAACTGGTGTTTCACGTGCCCATACTACTGTACTCGTTATCTTTGCTGAGTAAATGTTCAAACTTGCGTTTGGACCAAAGCTATTCAAAGTTTGATAATGTTATCCTGCAAGGTCGATAAGTTCAAGTTCAACGGCAGGTAAATGGCATAGAGACACCCATGGTTTAAACAAAAACACTAAATATGGCATGGTCAAAATGTTACTGGTCTATGAAAGCACTAGCGCAATAACAACTCATGTCACTTTTGCAGGTATCAGAGGCCCGGCCTATAATTCTCTTATTTCCGACGGACTGACTGACTGACTGACTGACTCTCGTAACTTACCCTGGTTGTTGACTAGCAGACTTTTTTGTCGAGTCACCTCTCCTGAGTCCGAGTCCCAGTTTCGAGTTATGCAGGTCGAGTTCAAGTCCGAGTGACGAGTCACTTTTAATAATTATACATATATATCAGACATTAACTTAAGGTAGCCTACTGCCGAACCCTATATGTTTCAATATTTTCACATCTTTTTTTCTTATAACTGAAACTTCATGTAGAATAAGACGAGGCACCAGTGTCTGGAAAAGATAATGGTTACGTCTCGATAGTCCGACGTCCCATTGGTCCAACGTCTCAATGGTCCGACGTCCCAATGGTCCGACGTCCCATTGGTCCGTCGTCCCATACTGTGTAGTTTCACTGGTTTAGGTTGCCTAAACCTAACCCGAATCCTATGGGGCGTCAGACCAATGGGGCGTCGAACTAATTTATAGACGGTAGCACACGATTATTTTTCTGTTGTATTTCCTTTTATTCTCTAAACATGAATAATGATCGTCAAACCGTGGTTTTTAGGGTTTTTAAATTTGTTTTGGTGACAACATGCAGAAGTCTAGTTTCAATTGATTAAGTATGTAGGCCTACAGAAATATCTCGTATTTAATATATGAAGGAAAAACATGACAAAGCAAACATTTCTTTAAAAGTAAAATAGAAATACAATTGAGCATACTATCAACAAAATAGTTTTCATTATTTTTCATCTTTTTAGATTTTACTTGGCCAGCCATCAGATGGAAACTTTAAGAGACAAATATTGTTAACCTTTTTACAATGTTCTCCACATTGAACTGTTTCATTGTTTGAGACAAAGAAGGCGATGCTACAAATTACTTCCAATCAAATGCCAAAAACGCATTTACGGTCAACCCTTTTGTCATGGAAAAAAAATCCGAATTATTTCAAGTAAGAGACTAGCATATGACTATAGCCACAATAAGCAACAGACTATAAGGTAAAATTTAAAAAAAATGTTCGTAGCCTCTCTTATTGTTTCTTTAACACACATTATATTATCATAATTAAAAAGACGAAGACGAACGCCGATACAAATTCAAAGAATCACAGGTTGAATTTCGTTATTTTTCTGATACGCATTTGTCTTTTTTGGGCACTGTTAGCACAATTTTTGTATAGTTGCCGCTTTTCAGAATTTTTTTTTACATAAGAGTATTGTGAGGTCCCATCTTTTATAAAAAAAATCCTCATTCGCAACTTCTTCTGAAAGTTATGTCTTCTAAAAAATCCTGGCTTAGAAAAAACATTCATATCAATTTCTAGCCTTTTATACGCCTTTTAATTGTACGTTTTTTTTTATAATGCATAACTATATAAAGGGCCTATTTTTTTCGAACAGTAAATATGAATATTCATGACTGACACATGGAGTCTTACTCCTTTTTAACATATATTTTATCCTCGTGAAAAAAAACCGTACATTAGGGGCTATTAACAATGGTCCACGTGTGGGATATAATAAGAACAATTTGTTGTTCAAACGCCACTTTGAAGGGAATGCATAGCATTTGCTTTGGTTGCAATTTTCAGAAATAAATGGATTTGGAGGATTTATGATATAGAAAATATTGTTTAACTTACTTGTTTCACGTTTTGGGCTTGTAGACGGTGGAAAAAAACCAATCATGTTCTTGTAGTCTGGTTCCCTGACACCACTTTAGATGAAACGGAGAAATTTGTAGACTTTGGGGAATTGTAAGGTCAGAGTCTCAGTCTGGCAGACATGTACCTCTTCATATGTGTGTAATCAATTGCAAAAAAAATGCAAAATAACTAAATATGATAAGAAATAGGAGCGGTTATTGAAAATAAGCCAGTTTTCTCCAACGCTATTCGGCCGACCAGTGTTGGAAAATATTTTCTTGAAAATGTTAGCACACCAGGAGCCACGATTTTACAGGATGCTTTAGACTGTCATTCCCTAGCAATCCAGTAAGGTATTTCGTGATAATTTGATCATTTCGTTTTTTGATGTTTACAACAAATGTTGTATCTTTCATTTTAAGTGGTTATTTATTCGAGCATACCATACATTGTAAAAACAGTGTTTAGAGTTTAAAAAGTTTTTAAAACCCACTTTTTTAACATGTTTAAATCCACGACATTTTTAAGTTTATGGATGCCTGTGACATATTAAGGCTCGTACGAAGGCCCGTTAGTACCATCTGGTATAAATCGTAAAAGTAAATAAAATGACTTATCAGGTCAAGTCAAATGATAGATTAAATGCACACTTTTATCACATTTACACTTTCATCTGTCTAAGAAAGACGAACATTAACATACATATTTGACTTTAAAAGTTAGTATTAAGGGTACTATCAAGCTTTAATACATGTCTCAGACTAAACGTGAAACAAATGCATACCGAAAGTGTTTAAAAGCTAAGGACCATTTTTACAATGTGTAGGCAACAAACATTTCACATCAACATTTTATTGTGTGTGGGTTTAATAAATTGACCAAACAAATGGTCCCCATTCAGCGAGAGGTTTTACTGATTCTCCAAGGATTAGTTGTCCTTGTCTCTGACGAACGAGGCAAACAGTCCGCCCTTCTCTATCAGCCCGTTAGGAGTACCGTACTCGGCTATCCTGCCCTCATCAAGCACAACGATGGTGTCAGAGTTCAAGATGGTGGTGATGCGGTGCTGTTGGGAAATACCCGTTGAAATGAAGCAATGCCGGTATAAAAAAATACCCGAAAATGATGGATGAATGTGTTAAAGCTACGAAATCTAACATTGTGTAAGAGTGCTTTGAGCAACGCGAGATCACTGTACACTTATGAAGCCTCCTTCAACGGAGAAACAATTGTGAACGCTGAATTGTACAAAGCAACTGCCCTTTGACGGATTATTGGATTATCCGAAAAATAGCTAGTGCAACACTTTCGCCATTGAAGGGGGCCTTCGTGACCGAATAAGCCAGTTCGGTATTTCAAAATAATCTGGTGGATACGGCAGCAAGACTCGACGATTTTTTTTTTTTTTTTTTTTTTGGGGGGGGGGGAATATAACCGCGGCAGATAAATCGTCACCGACACCACGAACTGACACCCGGTGGTCAGCGTTGCAGAAATACAAATCAGAGAAAAACGCTTTGAAAGGTTTGACACGAATTTACTCAGTAAAATAATCCATCTATCTTAGAGGTTTTAGTATCACTTAACGTGAAAATGCTTTAACTACTCCATTATAAACTTTAAATTGTGAAAATTTGCTTAGTTAATTAGCAATTAAATGATTAAGATGGGTGTCAGTTCGTGAAAACCAAAATTTATGTGTTTTCGGAGAGTGCGTGCATGCAATAGCGTTAGAGAGTGTCATTTCGTGAAAACGAAAATTGACGTGTTTGGGAGAATACGCGCACACACTGCGCATGCGTGCGCGCACTCTCCAAAAGCAGGTCAATTTTCGTTTTCACGAACTGACACTCCCTAACGCTATTGCATGCACGCACTCTCCGAAAACACGCAAATTTTGGTTTTCACGAACTGAAACCCTGTGCAGAGTCACTTCGTGGTAACAAAAAACCACAAGAATTCACCAATTTCTTGAAAATTCATTATTAAAATTTGCTTATTTTAGATGATTTTAGCAATTTTAACTTCGTCATGTTAAACTTCATGATACAAACTGCTAATATCGGCAATAAAAAAAATAAAATAATTTTAATTTTTTTTTTGTACACATGTGATGCAGAGGGTGTCATTTCGTAGTGTCGGTGACGAAATGCACTCAAGGCTACGAGGGACGTAGTATTAACCAAATCCGCATTTTGTGCAATTTTTCGGGCAATCGACAAGAAATGGAACTTTCGTTTGCACAAAAGTTTTGACACACTAGAGACCTAAACACACTTCGCTGTCCAAAGCGTTTTTTTTCGCAAGAACTTTGCTGGTACCCTGCTATGCTTTTGCAAGCATACGATGACAACATTATCCCAAAAGAAAAATCAGCAAATCTTGAGGTGTACATGCGCAGTTCCCGAACTGGCTTATTGACAGCGTGCTCGTATAGTCTATATAAACAACAAAAACATGATATAGTTAATGACTTATGCTTACCGTTACACCACGTTCATTTCATATACTGACAGTATTCGTATCAAGGAACTTAATTATACAATTCCTTTTCAACATCTCTTAGTAAGGATCGTTTCTTGATAATAAACTTACAGCGATAGTCAGCACAGTCCGATCGGCAAACGCCGAGGCCACGACGCTCTGCAGAATCTTATCCTGTGCAGAAAAAAAAGGAATTGTAAGAAAACAACATTATGATTGAGACATAACTCCGTCAGAGATAAGAACAATCAAACCAATGTAGCAATACCAAGAATTCTTACAGATTTGTATTACCCAATTTCATAAGATTCATGAGAAAAACAGCAATTCTCTGAACTTTCTATCGACAGTCTTACCGTCTCGAGGTCGATGGAGGCGGTGGCTTCGTCCATGATGAGGATACGGGACTTGCGCAGGAAGGCACGAGCCAGACAGAACAGCTGCCGCTGACCAACGCTAAAATTCTCACCGCCCTCACTCACCTCAGAATCTAAGGATCGGTAAAAAGAGAGGCTTGTCCAAGGTACAGCATGCGGACTGGATTATTTTAGCACTATGTAAAAATCTTTAAAGAGACATTGAAACAGTAGGTCCAACGTAGACCTGAACGGTCTTTTCATTGTTTCTATTAGTGTGGTATGTATGTCTTCAGATTGAAGGTTCTGACCACGTCTATCCCATATAGAAACTCGTTTTCTTTTTAAGATCAATCCATGGATGTACCGCAAACCGATACCGGAACTGATGATGGGTAGTTTGAATAAAAAAAATGCTCAAAATCTTTAATAGGGTGCACAAAAGATAACCTGTTGAAGGTCTAGTTCAGATGTTATTAGGTTTTGTAGCAGCTTTTCGTTGTTAACGCGCGTAAAAACCACCTTCACTTTTTCTTCTTCCAAACCACTTCAGGTGGAATAATTTGATAGTCGATACCAGCTCTACCGTCACCTTGAGCATGTTTCTGTCATTAAGCCCACAGGATACAAAAGCGAAAACTCCAACTTTATTTAAATATGACAAAGCTTCACCTATGAATAGTGACTCAACGTACACAATAAAAAAATGACCAAATAAACAAAGGGGAAAACAAGAAACCACAATTGAACCGAAATAAGCATCGCCGGCTTACCCAGACCGCCTTCCAATGCGCCAACGACCTCCTTGAGTTGGGCGATTTCTAAGGCATGCCACAGCTCCTCGTCGCTGGTAATCTGGGCGATTGGGTCCAGATTCTTTCTTTAAAACGGTAATCAAAAATTAAACTTCTTCTCAATGAGAAAGAATATTTCTCGAAAGGCTGTAGTTTATGAGCGGATGAGAGGCAAACAACGGTGTTGTAACTTTATTGCAATTAAAAAACAACAAACATTATGTTTATTTTGAAGCAAGGCTTGTTACAACTGATAATGTAGTAACCAACGGATAATGTATCACCAACCGATAATGTCACACAAATTGACCGATACTGTATCACTAACCGATAATGTAACAGAAATTGACCATGTTACTACACTATCGGTCAATATTCGTTACATTATCGGTTAAGACGGATAATGTAACAACAATCATAGTGTAGTACATTTTTACTACACTTTCGGTCAATTTATGTTACATTATCGGTTAGTGATACAGTATCGGTCAATTTGTGTGACATTATCGGTTGGTGATACATTATCCGTTGGTTACTACATTATCAGTTGTAACAAGGCTTCATGTAAACTTACGTCAATAAGTTGAATTCCTTTTCCATTCCCAAAGCGGGTCAGAAATATGACCTTTTTGATTTAATATGCATTTCACCAACTATTGATGCAGATGATTATCGTCTAGGCACTAAATATTCACAGAGCACTTAGTACACTGGGGCGCATACCTAGGTTTCCCAATACCGATGTGCCCCGAAATCCCTACCCTTTAACCCTAACCCTAACCTAACCCTTATCCTTAGGATTTCGGGGAACATCGGTATTGGGGAACATAGGTATTGGGAAACATTGGGTAGACCCCAGTACACAGTGTGAGAAACTAGATATATAAACTTACCTTACTGTTCCTGTAAACAGAACAGGATCTTGAGGAATGATGGAAATTTTACTTCGCAGAGTTGTCAGCGGAACGGTCTTGATGTCAATACCATCGATTACAATGGAACCTGAATCGGGGGAAATTATAGAGTCCTTCTAAATCACAACAATGTCCATATAGGTTAATTAAATGCATGGTTTCTGACGTAATTTTGGAATTCACCGAATCAAAACTTTGCGAGTAAATAATTGCTCCAAGCCGGCAAATTACAGAAGGGATACAAAGGTGACACAACGTCCAATGCTAATTCTCTCAGAATATTGAGAGCATGCACAGAGCACCTCAGTGTGGTACAGGTCTTTGCTCCTTTTGTTTTCAGTGAGGGCGTTCTGTGCAAGCCGTGAATATTATGGGTTCCGTGCGCCAACAAAAGAGGGCACCCTTTTACCTAGCAACGACGTCTCATGGGCGGGACACGTACATTTCGCTGGTTGACGCACGAAAACTGTTCCTTGTGTGTGACGCACGTACGTACCAGGGGATTTGTACTATGTACACGCTGTGGCCGCGCCTCGCGTCAAAATATTGAAGTCAGGCAAGATGGCGTCATTCGGTCACCCCCAACTGTACCCTCTGTGCCGGTGAGGGGGTACTTGTGAACGGAGCGGATACAGACACTAATAATACTCCACAACTAGAAAGCGCTCAGAGAGCGCAAACCTCCACCAAGGGTGAACTAGTCTCCATCATATCGCTAGCACCCCCAATATAAATACTCGCATGTCCACTGGACTTCCATGTTTTACTCCACATTTCCCACTCCCCCATACTATCAAATGGTCGAGTCCATCGACCTGTTGGTTTCAATGGTGTATGCGTTATGCGCTCATAGACTGCACACATAGCATATTCGCACATACAACATGGTGGAGAATTTAAAACAATTTCTGCATCCAGACCCAGATCCCGATCACTTCCAAAATCTAATCGATTTGTACTTGTTCCAAGGACCACCCCTAAAACAGATTTCATGAAAATCCATCCATAACTTTTGAGTTATCTTGTCAAACAGACAAAAAAAACAACCAACCAACCAACGCCGATGAAAACATAACCTCCTTGGCGGAGGTAAGAAAACATAACCTCCTTGGAGGAGATAATAAGTTCAAAAGGGTCCTGCTGATTAAATGAAGATTGTGAGAGATGTGAACCCAATTTTGAAAGTTCCTGCTATACTTGTAATGATCCTGCAGTAAAAGTTACCATCAAAGATGTCAATGACTCGAAGCAAAGTCAGCGTGAGGGAAGACTTCCCGGCCCCAGTTCGTCCACAAACACCAACCTGAAATTAAACTACTTATCGTCATTACTAAGTTTGAACAACTCTTGTCTTAAGTCTACTTTTCCGCATTTCTTGCTTTTACTACTAGACAAAAGTGAACGCACATTTCTATCTGATTTGTTTGAATAACTAGTATTCTTTTGGATTTAAAACACACAGTACGCCTACTGAAAAAGCCGGAGTCCGTCCATTTTTTTTTCTTCTGTGGGTGATGGAAAAATCACTTGTCCCTTTATTAAGTTGGTGCACAGTAAACTACCATCGTGCAACATTTCAGCGTTGGAGTGGAGTCCTTCACAAGTCCTCTCAATTCCAGCATAACTCATCTAGTCTTAAATCAGTTCACAAGCTCATCAAATTTAATGTGGGAAAAAAATGCAGTCCTTTGCCATCGTTCATCCCAATCTTGTGGCTGGACCTATGAAGGGGCTTGTCATACACTTGTGATCGGACTTGTGATGGCCTACAACACTGATGTACTTATTTGTTAAACTCCCCGACTTTCCAATCGACCGTTTTGGTTGTTTTAATAGAAAGATTTTACACAGGCTTTTGGAAAGCATTAACCATGCGAGGCACCATCGCTTTATTTTAGTTGGAATCCACCATAGTACTGAACTTTTCAGTAAGATGGTGCATGGGTGTTACGGTCTTACACAATCCCTTCAAGCGGCGATTTTGTGAACATAATCCCTTCTCATAGTGTCCAAATAGATGGATAGAGGCCCTCTTCGCTCAAGAAAACAATTTCAAGCCAAAAATAGTGTATACATGCCCAGATTACCTTGTATGTGGTCAGACTCGTGCGAACATAAGTTCGAGTTTTAACTCCCTGCTTTTGTGTCTGGCCACCCCCTCCCCCGTCCACCACAACAGCCTGAGGCTACATGTATAGTGCTAAACAGGACAAGAACCACCTGATTGATGGCCTTGTGATAACAGCAGCTATACTTACAATACAACACAATTACAATGCTAAACGTGACAATACAAATCATATGGGCCTGGGTCTGATCTTTGCCTCATCAATTCTGGATCGAAAGTTCAACCAAGGTTAAAGGGGCACTCACGATGCGTTTTAGCTATGTCTCAATACGGAAACTGTTGAGTACGAATTTTTTGACGAACAAATGAGGATGTAATCAAACATTATTTTAAAATGTACTGATGACATTAGCAGCATACTGTCGCACACCAAAGAGATAAAAACTTTACCGAACGTTTGGGCATGTTAAACGAAGCTCCCAAAACTGTTTTGGGACCCTTAAAAGTAGCTAAATACTTTGGGGGCATTGTTTCGATTTATTTCGTCGGCAAAGCTCGTTTGCCCTCTCTGCTACTCAAGTGGTTCTAAAAAGGCTTGTAGTCTCACCTTTTCCCCTGCCCTGAATTTGACAGAGACATCGTTTAGGACTGGGTCGGTGTTTTTAGCGTAACGAGCCGAGACGTGGCTCATTTCGATGTGGCCACGTTGTGGCCAGTAAGCCGGCGGCTCGGTACCTTCACAGGAAAATAGAGGGGAAAAAGTTTTAATTTAATGTTTTGCCATTATGTCCTTAAGTGGATTATGAATAGGTTTTTGTACACAGTCCCTTTCAAATACCGCTTCTCTCCGTTCATTCTTTAGCGATTCAAAGCTTGCATATATAATGCTACTACTTTTCACTTGTTTGGTATTATTTCAGAAGTGAGGTATCAATGAATTCTCCTAGCAAGAAAAAAAATAGCTGCTAAATTTGACCTTCCACAGAGTGACAAATTCTCCATGAGAGTAGAACGGCGCAGGGTGCTGTGTTTGAATAAGCATATGCATGTAAATAGTTTGTACCAACAGTTGGAAAAAAATACGGACTTTGAGTGTTATTTTAACCTCTGTTTTCAAAAGGGTACGATTTATTTTACACTATATACCTTCAGATACTTACCATCATCAGGTTCGTTCTCCACGTAGGTGTAGTGCTTGATTCGTTCCACTGCGTTCATTTGGATCTCTAGCTCCGCCATGGAACGCACCACCATATTCAAAAAAGTTGCCACCTGAGAATTCAAAATACAAATTAATATCGTCATTGAACGAGCGATAATATTTTCTGCTAAAGACTTCAATTTCTTTTTCTGAGATTGGTATGCGTTCGCATCACACTAGGGCCTCAAATTGATTAAAGCGCACTGTGTACCGTTAACCTTTTAGTATCGCAGCGAATGTTTGCTGGCGTTATTTTCGCTTTACTTTCGCATTCGCGTGAAGTATGAACCAGCGTTTAAAATTGCACGATTCTTAGTCAAAATGGAAATGTTCGATTGTGCAAACCATTTGTGCAAACCATTTGTTTGCACAAAGGTTTGCTTTACTGGAAGCAAACCATTGTGCAAACAATGGTATTCACAACGGTTTGCATACTCGAATGGCGTCCATGACGATTTCGCAATTTATATCGAGTTCCCCATCTTGCGCCTTCGGCGCTATACGATCTTTGATTGTGACTCAATTTGGTTTTGGATGACTTGTGATTGACTACTATAATAGGCGTCGCGAGGGGCGGGGGGCAAAGGGGGCACTTGTCCCTCCACCCTGAAATAGCCACCCCCCACCCCTCCAAAAAAAAAGGAGGAAAAAAAAAAGAAAAAGATAAATAAAAAGAAAGAAGACGACGAGGTAGGAAGTCATATTCCTTTTAATTTAATGCACATTTAACAAAATGGGCGTCCGCAAGGGTATCAATGGGGGTGGGGTGGGCAAATACAATAGGCCTAAGTATCAGGGTCTTGAACAAATGGTCGAGTGATGTCTAGCACACGTTTTCCACGGCCGGTGATTTCTCCCTTCGCTGCTTTCTTGTGAGAGCTTTGCCCCCCTCTAGAAAACAAAATGGCGACTACTATACGCACTTGTGATGTCTTATGATGGATTTGACTACCGCTTTGCTGTAGGTAAAACAGCATGATGGGATTGCGCCATAATGTGCCAACTCCTAATTAGTTATACCTGAAGCGAGTAGGAGACGGCCAGTCCCACGTAGCTTGGATCCAGTTCTATGGTGAGGGCGCCCACTAGCGTTGTCATTCCAGCAAGGAAAATCAATAAGGCGGCGATGAAGTCCTCAAGTGATGCAGAAAAAAGGGAAAGATGTTAATTCGATGAATGTGTGAACATATATACGCTTACTGGGGTTTTTAGTTTTCCCGACATGGAAAGTGTAAAAAGTATGCTTTATGGAACGTATACTTGAAATTTCTGTTCATGCAATTTTAATTCTAAGAAAGTTTCTACACTTCCGGATAATTCCTAATGTTACAGCACAAAATGAATTCATTCAAAGCGCAAACAACAAAAATGCTCAGTGTATAACCCAATCAAAAGCATTTCCCCCAATATTTATATTTTGTCTTAATACGACAAAACATCACGTTGAGTATTCTGAATGTTAGTTTTATGACACAAGGAAGTACTATATATCAGACCAATATATAGGGCAATATGTCAGACCTCGTGGTGGATCATAGGTAATTTCATTCGAACTTACCAGCCGTATACCAAGCCATCGGGTGGCTACCTGGAGATAGAGAAAGGCTGCCAGATTCACGTTGATTCGTTCGATGATTGTGTTGTAGAATCGCTCGGATGCCCTGTCGTAACAATTAACGTTAAACCATAAAACATTGGTAAGGCCCCCCAAAAAAGTCTCCGGTTTTTGGTATGCGCGCGTCGCCGTAGCCATGCGCGTCGGCAAAATGAAAAAAAGTTTTTTTCAATAAAAGATGATGTCTCAAAACCGCCAAACTCACTGGTTCGACTGGAATCCTGCTGCTGCACAATTTTAACGTGTTTTTAGATGGGGTTATGATCGAGAATAAGCTTTATGTGACCTCTCCGCACCCCCATATATTTGCACTAAGTTTAGTCGGGCACCATTGGCAGTCATCAGCCGACATTTGAAGCAAAAAAGACTTTTGGGGGAAGCTCCATACCAGAAACCGGAGACTTTTTTTTGGTCTAAGAGGTTATCGCAAATATCCGTCCAACATGTATTATAAAACTGGGTAAATACAGGCAGGCACAAGGTATTTTGCCAACATTGCATAATTAGCAAAATAACCACGATTATACCTAATCACTAAATCACCTTTGAAAATAAATATTCAAGTCTAATCAATAGGCCTCTATAAAACGCAAGAAATGATGCAAAATCGTATTTTTTTGTGTGTATCGTTTCAGTCACACAAAAATGTATGATTCTTATAGGTAGAGCGTTCATCAGACAATGTCAATATTTTTGGGGGCAATTCTTTAATTTTCACACCCTATATTACTGCTTGGGAAGGGAGTTGAATGACAGAATCAGTGGATTTATTTTTTACGGCTGCAAAACTGAACTATTGGACATTTACTTGTATGCCCGAATTGTCATTAGTCCTCCCAGGCTCTCCGAAAAATAGGCAAAGACAGGCGACTTGCTGATGCTGTCCAGTCGCTGTAGTTCTCTAAAAAGAAAAGTAGCAATTCATATCTTCGTAAAATCAATGGAAAAATACAAGTCTGAGTAATAATTATGATAAAACTACCCTGGCACCACGGAAACATTCCACGGCATCCAAACGGTTAAGTGAGAACATGGCTTTTTAACTGACCTGTCTTATTAGGTTTTCGCGAGGGTACGCATTTATATTTAAGGCACGGCTTTTACGAATGGACGAAGTTCTTTGGTGATTCATTTATCTGTGATCAATTGTCCTGTTTCGCAATTACCGACATAAACACCGCAAACCAGAAAGTCCACACTCATTGGAGGGGTCATAATTTTGAATCTGATCGTCTTATGATAACGTCATTTATATAGACCTTTGGGGAATGTTGTCAGCTACATTTTGATACCCCGTATTGACAACGGTTTAAGAAAAATGATGCATTTCGAAAAGTTGCAAATTTAAAGAGTAGGGCCTACGCGAGTGGAAATTGCTGCGTGACACTGCCCGAAAACAAACGGCAGGGAATACCGATCGCACACTGCTTGCATGCATTGGAACACAAATTAGCCTACGCACCTCATAGCTCCAACGCCTCATAAGTCGGACGTAGGATGAGGCGTTGGACCTATGAGGCGTCGGACTTCGAGAAAACATCGACTACTGATTCATTCCAACATAGTCTCAATAAGGTTTAGTATACCTAGACGACTCCAGGAAGAACCTTTGTAGGAAGTAGAAGCCGATGGCGACGGGAACGAAGAACGCGATGAAGATCGGCATGACGATGGCGTTGACCACTACGGCCGAGGACACCCTCAGTACGGTATTGACAAACATGTTGATGGTTTGTGTCAATCTCTGTCAAGCAAAAACAAATATGCATGAACCTTGTTCCCCGGGTGTCGAGCAGTATTTTCCCATGCTACCTGCTCTCTCACCATGGTATTGGATCATTCGCGTATCCAAAAATATTGAAACGTATGCAAATTAGGCTCCCTGTCGGCGGGCATATAGTCTGGTTGCAATACTTAAAAATCACATCTTCGTCACATGCACGGTATAGTGTTTTTGGTTCTACATTTAATAGCTTAATTGGAAAATTCATGCATTGAAAGGCTTTGTCATGTTGCTGTCTGTACGTCCGCTTTAACTGACCAATAACAAGCCTGAATCTTCGAAGTCAGTCCGAAAGATTGAGCATATAGCCAATACGACAATAAAGCCCAGGTTTGAGAAACGGTCTTCATCCTCATCCAAGGGCAAGTTCGATCAAGGACCTATGGTTAACTAAAGTAATGGTTGGTTCGTGACGTATAGCGCATGCGCACTGAAGTTGAAGTGCGAACGACTCTAGTTGAACTATTGTCATGTCAACGACCGTGAGAAAATGGCGGTCGCACTCGCACGTCGGCTAAAGATGTTTTTCAACACTTGATGTTTCTGTTTATTTAAGCAAATATTATTGACTGTGTTGTTGAAGGACACCTGACATAATCGTCGTTATTATTGTACAATGGTGACAAAAGACTCGTAAACTAACATGGAGAAAGTAGTCTTAAGTACTCTTACGTAGTTTACGTTTTCCGCCATTTTTGATAGTTGGTCCCCTCTACAATAAGCTATGAAAAAATACCATTGGTAACCAGCTATATATTTTTGGGTGACCAGCCGCGATAGGCTGGTCCTGAATAGGCGACTAGACTAGTCCAACAGTGGACTAGCGTGCATTCGATCAGAGTCAGTCGAACTATGGTTAACCATGGTCCTTGATTGAATTTGCCCAAATTTGGAAGTTGCAACTGAGGCTGAGACCACCAAAGACCAGCGCCAAGTGGTGTATGGAACATTCGCGCTTGAAATTCGAAAAGTTCGAAATTCGAAAGTCCATCATTCTTTTCTAAGGGCGGTGCCTTGGTATAAGCGAAGGCTTGATAAGGAGATGAGTATTAAAATGCGACACTTGGTCCGCGTCGCGTCCAGAATGTCTGCGTTTACACCGAATGATTTCGAAGGTTTTGATAACAATCTGTATTGGAATCGTACGTCATTGTTCATGTTTTCGATACTTACAATATCAATAAGCTGCATGTCGTTGGAAAATCGGTTCAGAACACGCCCAATCGGAGTCATGTCAAAAAACCTGTCAATGGGTTAACAGGAAGATAGCCAATTAATTGAAGAAAAAAAAACCCAAAACAAAACAGTAATTTTGTTACAATTATAAAAGTAAACCTGAATTTCGTCTGTCGCAATGACCCATTACGGAAATCTGCGTGAACTGAGAATGGGAGACAATTGATGCTAAGTTTTAATTGAAAAAGGTCATTTGAATTAACAAAAATCATGCTATGTTCTGAAATGATGGAAGTACCGTGTGTTCACAGATTTCAATAAATGTGTCACTGCTTTCCTGAACAGTGTGTCCCAGAAAAAAGCGGGCCCAGACAAATCAGCGGCCATATCTAAAGAAATATTCACGTGATACTTAATTTTTGTTTCGTATTTTTTCATGGTATTGATGCTGTTAATTGCCTGTGGAAAAATAAACTGAATTTATTGAAAACTTTTAAAGCCAGCCATAACGAGAAATGAAATTTACACTTTTTTTGCGGCATTAGCTTGTGCTGGTAAATTAGTGGAGAGAGGAAGACCACGAACATGTATCACACACGAACACATTTCTTTGCAAACAAGTAGAGACTATATGTCTTTATTTCATAACACATTTACATGTAATGACATAGTCTCTTCTTTTGTTATGAAATAAGAAATAGTCTTCGACTCTCCCAAAAAATGTCAGCCATGATCAATTATATAAAGGTTGACCAAATGTGGGCTCGAGCTCTGTGCCTGTTCCCTCCCCTTACTCTAAAATTGAAAAGGCAAAATGAGCTTTTTATTTGCGAAAAAAACCCCCATTGAGTTGCCCCTTCTAAACACATTGATCCCTGCTTCAAGCAGCTACTCATGAAATTGACCCCAAGTACGCCAAAGTCGTTTAAGATTTTCCCGTGGACTATTACCTGAGCGGAACTTTGATGATGTTTCGTAGTACTCTTTGGTGGAGGCGTCTAGCTGCAGTCAGTACGGCGGCTACCAGCGAGATCATGGACAACACCCTGGCTGCCAAAGTGCCCAGCGAGAGACCGACGAAACCAGGGAAGTACTCCTCCGTCAGATCGTTGGTCTGTTGTGGCAGAGAGGGGAGAGGGGACCAATGAATTATTGGGGTGCTGCGTGTGCATTAATTTTTAGCAAGTTTAAATTTAAACCTTATTGGTTGAAGGGTCGGAAATTAAGAGCGGGCCGATTCACCGCGGGTAGACACATTCTGTCCAATGAGAGCGCCTTTGGAAATGATCTTGGTCTTGGCTAGACGTGGATGTGTGTCCGACAGTGGTCCCTGACGTGCACTGTCAAACCGCCTCGGCAGAGGGCGCCAATACCAACAAGACAAATCAATCACGGCCTGTGGAACTTTGGCACTTGTACATAGTGTGCTTAAAGGTAAGCGCGGAAAGTATGAGGTCAAAGTACCAAAATTCGCAAGATTGGATTCGAAGTATCTGGTTGATAGCGCCCCCTACCTCCGTTTCGGCTTGACTGCACTTGTTACAAATGATATCAGGACCAGCTACTTTAGGAAAACAAAACAGAACTCCAATCTCCGACCAAGACGTCCTTGGATAGGTCGGTGAGCACGAGCGAGCACGGAGTCAATCTACAATACTGACCTCATTTCCCAGCCCCGCCTCCGACCAATCAGAAAGCCAGAAGTTTGTGCCGATACCCACTCCAGCATCTGCGAAGGCCCAGAGGCCCAGTAAGAATATAAGCAGCCAGCCACAGTTGTTGGCGTAGTACAGATAGACGGTGTAGGAGACCGAGCCGCGTTCCATCTCCTCTCTCTCGATTAGCGCACCGGCCTCGGTGTTGTCTCCCACTACCAAAGACAAAAAAGAATAAGGTGAAGACAACTTCCAAGAGTGTCTGTGGCAAAAGGCCATAGTTTTTTAGTAAACGAGGGTGCTGTCAGACAACATTTTGGGACTTTTTCAATTTTTTTTTCAAGTTCAATTTTGAAGTACCGTTTTTCTCCAATAAACGTAATATCGTTCAAATTGTGTGTGTGTGCAAGTGATTCAGCATGCAGTGCTGTGAACTGGAACTGTAACTTTTCTAGTTTGGGAACATTTCTACTGCAAAAAGATTCAACAGATACTCCATTAACAATTTGTTTTTATGTGCTCTTGTCTTAGGTGATATTCTTAAACTTCTTAATAAACTTTTTTTAAGGGACATTATGTTTGTTTCTAATACTTTCCAATTGCCTTCGTCATTTATTTCCGCACTCATGCATATTGAATTTTCTTTCTATGTTTGAAAATGTACCTCATATTATAATATTCTATTTTACCAGAGAGTTGATTTGTTTTTGTTGCAGGTTTGCTTGTATCTTTTTTCAGAGTTTGCCCTAGTGTTAAGTGCATAATTATCCTTTCCTTTTAGCCTTCGATTTTGTAAAATTGATATTAATTAGTTTATATGTTAATGCAGGGCCCTAATGAAAACAAATTTTATGCTGTTTTGGTCTACCCTGGATAAATAAAGGAATAATAAATAAATATGTGGTGTGGTAGGATGGTTATCAAAATGGCGATTGCCTTCGGGACTATCACTTGTGTGGGCATCTTGTGCGATAATAAGTGGGACTAATTGGTGTCTATGGTAGTTTATCTACCGTTCATTCGCGAAGCCCATACCTTTAGATATCTGTTTGGAGAGCGTCTTACTCTTGACTTGCCGCTGGAGACGCAGTCGTTCCTCCCGTGTGGCCTCGGACTCGTAGCCGGACAGCTCTGCCTCGGCCTCGGACTCCGTGGCCTGCTGCACCGCCTGGTTGTACTCCGAGTACATGTCAGGATCGGCGGCGATGATGTCATCCAGTGTTCCCTGGGCGGCTATCCTGCCGTCTTTCATTTCAATTATCTGTTGTGCCAAAAGTGATAACGAAAAATCCAATTAATAACACAGTTGCAACATAATTGAGTTACATTAAACTGCAATATACTAAGTGCCTGGTCAGTGAAAACACTAAATGCAAACGTTTTCTTTAATCTAATTTTTGTAAGCAGATGAAAAGTGTGATGTTATTTCCATCACATCTCCCGAGATCATTATTACAAAGCTATATGTCATATTAACTTTTTCATTTATATGGACGATCGAATTCGCGGGTTGGAGGTTCATTTTATTATTTGTGGTTTTACATTTCATTTGATTTATTTTAATTGAAAATATCATATTGCACAGGCAGGTGTGAGAGCCCACAATGTTGCGAACCAAGTCTTTCTGGACGTCCAATTCTAAAAAATAATTGTCTCAACATAGATCTGCATTGTTTCGAATCAGCATTCGAAATGTAAAAAAAAAAGGCTATAACTGTTGGATTGCCGACAAGTCATACATAAGCACTACTATGGAATAATTTCTTGAAAAACTCAAATTTTCTCACCAGATCCGCACGGTTCAGATACTGGAGCTGATGGGTGACCAATATCACTGTGTGTTTGCTATTGACCAACAACTTGATTATGCCGTCATGGAAAAGATAGCGGCCAACGTGCACGTCCAGGGCCGAAAGCGGATCATCCTGTATGCAACCAGAATTTAAAAATTACATTTGAAAAATACAATTAAACGAAATTAAATTGGTAAAATTAAAAAGACTTCCAGTTTCAAATAAATTGCAAGTGATTGTCATGCGAACAATCACACAGAAGCATACTGTGTTCATGTCAAACAGCCAATTGCCAATTGGTAATATTCCTACATTGCGTCACTACTGAAACTGATGTACTTTGCCGTGGTGTAGGGATTCCCACTTTGTCCTGAGCAAATTTCGAATTTACCCAGATTCCCACATTGCGCGTGACAGCAACACGGCCTAACGATAGTGAAACTGGTTAACTCGTTTTGTTATTTTGCCCTCAGTGTCTTTTTAACGTGTTCGCATCCAGCTATGGGCTTCGGATTATAGCAGCTCACCAGAATAATGATGTCCCTGTTTGCGTACATCGCCCTGGCCACGCTGACTCGTTGCTTCTGTCCACCGCTCAGGTTGATTCCTTTCTCCCCAATCTCTGTCTGATCGCCAGCAGGTAAGATATCAATGTCCGGCTTCAAGCAGCAAGCGTCTATGACACGCTTATACCTGCATTCATTACAAGGAGTGGGGACGAAAGTGATTGTAGTTATGTAGTTTTTAGCACTCTTTGTCGACGACATTGTTTTGAATCCAAGATGGACGCTCAGACGTAACATGAAGTAATCATTCGCCATCAAAATAAGACGGCTTCTGAAGCTCTTGTCTCGATCTCTAGTCTACCGTTTCTCCCGTCACATCTTTAGCCGTAGTAGCCCTGAACACTTCGAACACAGGCTAATGGCTCTCCGTTTGGTGGCTATACAAGTACAGCGGCTCCCAGAGGCAGATAGCATACCCCTCCCAGTTTCGGAATTCCTCAAGCTAAAGGACCCAAAATTGTGGCACTATTGATGATGTTTAGTAATTACTTCGTGACAAACTAACGCAAGTTCACTGAATATCTTTATCATGATGTTTCTTTTTTCATACGCAAATAAATTTGAAGTAAAATGGAAGAGTTACCGACAACGACTTTGTTATCGAAGCTTTTTAAATAGCTTCTTCCCAAAAACAAATTATGCACGGTTATCTAACCCATCACTAAATGAGATATTAGAAGTGATTTGTACCTTTTGGGATCAAGCGGCTCAGAGAAGAGTATATTATCCTGCAAACTGGCATTCAACAGCCACGGTTTCTGGGCTCCCAGCGCTATACGAGCTTTATCCCTGCATCAAAAAAGAATGACAGTAAACAATGAAAATGAGAGATTTAAAGGCATTTTTCAATTTCTACACTGATTTTCAATGTGTTTAAGTTGTTCCTAGGATTCTTGATTTTTTATTTCCATGCGTCGTCGTATATATAGTTTATACAAGTATAATACATTTTCGTACAAGGCGAAACAAATTTGAAATGTAACACTCTTTCTGAATTTTTTCTCATCTTAATGATGGCTATTTGTAGAAACTTTAGAAACCAATACTGCCTACGACACAAGCACGGTTTTGCTGAGATTACTCGAATTAACGCAACCTGTTTTCTGTGATAATGAAAATGATAATACAGTTCTATGTCGGTATTTTTTCGCACAGTTTGCATTTTGTTTCAAGGAGGAAGTGCATGGCTGAGCAAGTTTTGATTATACATTATCTTACTTTATTTGCACAAAGCCAGATACAGTGGTCATCTCACTCAAGATGGCTGCCAGAAGAGACGACTTTCCGCTGCCTACCGCGCCAACCACAACTGTCAGCTTACCTGTAACGAGTTGGAAATAGATCGATTGAAATTCGCGATAACACGATACAGATTATCAGTTTTAAAACTAACAACAAAGTTGTCGAGATTCGTTAGAAAGGTTGACAGGTAAACTTAGCCGACGGGATGTGGTCAGTGCCGGAGTTGACAACAGAAGAATAAAATCGTAAACATTGACAAATTGACCACAAAATGTTGATTCATAAATGGAATATTAAAATCAAGCTTTGACCTTCTGGAATTTCAACGTTGATGTCCGAAAGTATCTGAGTACTTGAATCTTCGTCCCAGAGATAGTTTCCGCGAGATATCTGTGTTCAAAGAAGAAGAAAATGCCCGACACATTTGAAACAAATGTGACCAAAAGGAAAAAGAAGTTTTCAACAACTAGCTCTTGAATATGACCCTAAAGCTAGAGAAAAAAATCAACCGTGAATTCTTAAAGAACTCATTCCAACAATAATGTTAAAAATATTAATTTCACTGAATGCTATAAAAGGGTGACACTTCCTGGCGTCCTGCGCCTGGCGTCCTGCGCAACTATGAAACTTACAAGGCATTCAACCCATCTTCTCTTCCTTGAAATCGTTTATGAGAATCAGCGCTTATACTTGCCAGTCACACTTTAGATACGATCGCTCGTAGTGCTTCGGAAATTGACCTCCTGACGTCATTACCTTTATGGCAACCCCGTGCTTCAGTCGCGTTGTCGGCTCGGCCTTGTGCCGTTTTTCCTTCACTCCGGCGGCCGCGCCGTACTTTCCCGATGTCCTCTTTCGGGCTGCCTTGCTGTTGAGCAGGTTGGATCGCTCCGTGGAGCCCAGGAACTGGTCCTCCTCAAACTCGCTGGCGCTGCTGGTGATTGTGACCTGGTCCGAGTGCTTCTTGAAACCCACGCTGACGTTGTCCTTGGGTGGAAATTGAAAACGGAATTCGAAGACCTGATAATTCAGCACTTTTCTTGGTATACGGAGTTTGAACCACAGAACATTCCTGGGTGGCAGTTGCTACAACCATTAACTGATTGAAAATCGTGTCAACAATTGATTAGAGCTTTTTATAAATTCAGAACTGATTCAGTTTGAAAGAAGATACTGGCTTTATCTTGCAATGTTTCTTTTAAAATGATTTCTTTCAAAATCGTTATCTTTTAAAAGTCATCATTAATCTCTCAAAGTTGATGTGGCCCTATAAGTGTACAACAGGCCTGAGTAAAATTGAAAGCCAAGTTTTGAATAGATCTACATCCAAGGTGTTTGCAGATGATACCTTTTACTTGAATAACTTGATACCTAATAAATTATCTATACAACTACAGGACTAGTGGTTCACGCAGTCACCACATGTTGTTAATTAAACACAATTTTTGAAGTGTATGTAAACAGAACAAGCGAAACGCAGACTCACAATTCCCCTTTGCTCATCAGCATTCTGAGAACGTGGCTCCACGACCCGGCCGTTACTGTCCTCGATCTCTGGGGCCAGCAGGAATTCCTTGACTCTCTTTCCGCTGACCAGGCCGTTGACCAGGTAGAGAAGCGACATAGGCAGGATCAGCAGGGGCATAGTCAGCATGTTGAACAGGGACAGGGCCGCAAAAGTCACCTCCGGTGTCAAGGGTTTGTCGGTGAGGGCGCTGTACGTCCCAAAACCCTGTAGTAGATTATGTCACTTCATTTTTAAAAACGAAATGGATCACACATTTTGCTTGAAAAAGGGTACATTGAAATGTTTTGATATACTGAGTGCGGAAAAAACAACAACAGGCGACCGAATAGCTGGTGACACTGCCGTAAGTCAGATAGCATGCACACATTTTGAACAAGTAAGAAGTTTACTGAGTTCAGCCATTTTGTTGCATAGTATATGCTTTATGTAAAAGATCTATTTTAACGATTGCAGCTGGTTTGTGTACACTTTGTGAAATGTTAAATCTGTCAAAACTAACTTACCACAACATTCACCAAGACAGGCGCAGCAGAAGTCAGTAAAACTAATCAAAAAGACGAGAGGAAGACAACATTATGTTTTCTATTCTTCGTGAGATATTAACCAGCTATTGGCTATTGGCAAATATGTACAAAACCTACTTGTAAAATATGCTCACACGTAATATTAAGTTTGGAAGCCTGTTAAACAATTTTGTAATGATGGTAAAGGATAAAGAAATAAACAACATGGGATAAACTATAATTGTGTTGATGGGCTCATTTTGAAACCACACGCATTTATTGTTTTTGTGGCAGAAAAAAATTCTTGGACATTTCTCCCTTTTATTAAATAAAAAAGCACAACAGTTGGGTTTTTGGGCGTTGAGATCGGGCTTTTTGGCTCTTGTGTAGGGTACATAATAATAAGGAGAATTTAGTGTCAGTTAGTGTTAAATATAATCTTAGGTTGAAATAGAAACGGAAGAGTACTTGTTGTGATTAAAAGGATGTTGATCTTGAGCAAGAAGTAGAGTTCTTTGCCCCTGATGACTTCAATGGCCTTTCCGTACAGTCCTTCCCAGGCGTACAGCTTCAGCAGCTTGATTCCTTGCAGTAACTCGTTGGTCTTCTTCAGCCGTTCGTCCGAGCAAACCTTGGAGGAAGAATAAGTTGAGAAATGACTCTTAAAAGCACCAAACGTTCACAGGTACGTAGATAACAATGACAGGGTGCAGGGTGAGACATTCGAAGGGACTTTGACGGTTGCACATGGCGGAGCAAAAAAATCATTCAAGACTAGCCGCTTACCAGCATTTGTTTCTGCCTCTTGCTGATCATGGTGGCGATTTTGAACTGGACTGGGCTGAGTACCAGGAACACACTGGCGCCTATCAGAGCCGCGTAGCCCATCTCAAGGTACAGTAGAACCAGGTTGATGATAAGCTGTCAATGAGGTAAGCCCCAAAATGAATTTGCTTATGATAAAATGATAAAAGTCAGTAACTGTACAATGTAGATTAACTAATAGATCATTTTCACAAAAAGTCACCCCACGTCTGATTTTTCTTTAGATCGGCCGATCGGACTTGCAAACGTACCTGCACCGGAATGCACCACAGGTTATTGAAATTCTGAAACATGATCTGAATGGCGTTGGGATCGACGGACATGTGGTTGGTGATCTGGCCCATGTTCATCTTGCCTCCCGTGGTAGCCACAGTGGACAGCCGCAGCGATTTCTCGTACACCATGGCCTGCAATCAGAACAAGCAATTTATCCTGTTTATATTCAGTCTAACCTTTTAAAATCATATGACCCTAATCATCTGTGAGATATTGCAAATGAGCAATTTTATATCAAATATTTCCAAAGGCACCTGTTTTAGATGAGAAAAAAATGGTGCCATAAGTCCAAAAAAATGATATTTTGTTTATAGAAATCTAAGTCAAACGTCAGTCCACAAAACATAGTCTATAAAATGATAAAGGATCGGCACGAACAAAAAAAAAAAAAAAAAACTTTGAAAAAAATCGTCAAGCGTTGAAAAAACAAAATTGGGCGGGCCAGGGGTGGTCTTCAGCCTATTTAGGGCTACATCTTCGTGTATAGAAAGAAACACCTTCCATCATAATAATAATAATAATAATATTTTGGGAAGCTAATCATCCTTACTCACAGCTGGTATGCTTAATTGCGAAGGACGCGGCTACAACGTGGTCGGGCCGCTGGCACTAAAGGCGCCTATGGCTACCGGCCACATCGACCCATATATGACCACGGAGCACAGCCTGAGATCGAAAGTGTTTGATTTTTCAAACCGGAGGGCCCGGAGAAAAACCCTCGTGGCACAGGAGAGAACCAACGCGCGCACAACTCTACTCACATGCGATCCGCGGCCAGGATTCGAACCGTGGTCACCTTGGTGAGAGGCGAGCGCTTTACGCACAAGCCACCCAAGCCACCCAAGCCACCCATGCCACCCTACTTTATGGACCTCTTATTATACCTTCATTACTTTTTGGGAAGACCCCCGATGGTTATGTTCACGCTTTCCAATCGGGAACATTCCTCCAATCATGGACCCCATTGTACTCTAGGTCCACTTTTGAAAGATACCATTTTTGGGAAGAGTTGGTTTTATACGCTTTTCATCTGTGGACCTTCATCTATACAGTCCTCTATTGTTAAAAGGTCCTCCGTTGAATGCGTATATCTTCTCATACCTGTATTGCTGCGCGTAATTTGACGCCCTCCATGATGCAGAAATAGTAGTGTGTCTGTAAGCAGAAGAAGTTGATCACGGAAGCGACAAGCATGACCATCACCAGCACGAAACCATTCTCGAAGAATTCGTTGACAGTGACGTAGTGTGCAGGGTCCGGCTAAGCAGTTAAAAAAATAGTCACTAATTAGTTGACACATTAAACCCCATAAACTCCAAATTATTATGTTTTATTAGAGTTAGGATTTGAAGGTTTGCATGGTGAATATAGCAATGAGATAAAGGTTTACGGTGGACCATGTGACACATACTACACACAACAAAGGGGCTGACCAGTGAATGCGCGCTGCATTTATTAGGCCAAACAGGTGCTTGCGCATTACACAACCAATAGGAATTGGCTTAGACGTTGTTCTGACGGGTTAGTGGGTGATATCGGTCAGTCGTGATAGCGCCCTCTCGCTGCGGCGGGTTATCGCTGCCTCGGGTTATCGCTTTACAAACCATTACTACGACGTCTAGCCCCTAGACTTCGGCTGACGCCGCTTACTGATTATTTTTTTCGTGCTGGCAACCGGGGTTCCCACGTGTCCGGGTAGCAACGCGCGCCTTGACTAAAGGCTTCATTAATTGGCAGGGGATCCTGTATACTGCTGGTCTGCACTTGGATTCTGCCGTTCATTATGTAATTGCAGCAGGTCCTAGATCTCTGGGGTGCTGTGTGGGAGAACTGTGTGGAAGTATCTTATGGTGTAGCACCCCTTCATCGTTAGTGGCCCTAGTCTCCCGACGACGGGCGCAGTATACTGTCCGAAACCTTGATTTTTCCCCGGTTCTTTTCACAACCTCACAAACCCACAAAACACATTTGCCTTATGGTGCCACTACAAATCGTTATATTATTAAAGTTATATGTGAACAGCGTAAATGCATGGCTGCAAACTTGGGATTTTTGGCTCATAACTGAAATTCAAAATTCAACTTTTCAATACTATAAAAAAAATCGTTTATAAGTTTGACACGACGTTCAGTGTCCCTAAACAAAACCTTAATCCAAAGCCTTTTAAAGTTATACACGAGTCGTTTCAATCGGAAAGTTTGTTAGTTGTTTATTTTCCCCTGAAAGCAACTGTTTGAGGCTTTGTTTGCGGTCCATGGATCCGAATCAAAGTGGAGACTCTCAAAAGCGGTAAACTAAGTTCCGAAGATGTGCAAAAAGCGTTTACTATAATTTTAAAACTATTTGTTGTAGAGTGTTAACTTTCATTTGGATTTTATTGTTTTTACGCAAAGACTTCGTCTTAATTGGCGAGTCAAAATGAGTGGAAACTCAGTTGACGAAAGGATGTGACGCCAAAATGTGAGTCATGAAACAAGGTCTTTACCTCTGTCTCGGAGGGGAACTTCAATTTGGTCGCGTAGGCCGTCAGCGCCCCCACGGCCACTGGGTTGACAAAAGCGAAGACCTCGCCGATGAGTTTGAGAACGGCCGCAGCCATCATTCGTCGGCCGTACACCTTGACGTAGACCTTCCCCAGGGACGGGCTCTTTCCCTTCTTCCTCGCCTTTTCCTTGATGCAGGTTTTGGAGATAGAAAAAAGGTAACATGTTCCATTGATGAATAACATTCACGAGAAACTAAAATGGTTTCCAAATCGCGGTAACATATGCTTTTTTTGTCCAGAGATGTTTGGACCTATTCTTGGGAGATTAAGACCGAATTTGGGTCAGTGTTGTGCTTCAATGCAAAAACAACAATAACTCCTACAATATGAAGCTTAGGGTATTTTCTTCTCGTTGGAAACTAAAGTCTTCCACAATGGTTTTGAAAAACCGCTGGATAACTTATAACATAGTCGCTCTATCCCTCTGCAAGGTTCTAAGAGTGTTTCACAGAAGAGCGCAAGGGGGAAGCATGCCCCCTCCCCTTCGACTTTTAGAATGTGCCCCTTGCCGGTGCTCAATTGTGTGTAACGATAATACGGACTGCTGGCAGTAGGATAGCTCTATATTAACGGCATAAGCTTACCACACTAACTCATGAACTTGTAAACCTTTAAGGCAATTGAAATATGTTTGGAAACCAGGCTCGAGTATTAATTGAATACAAAACAAGACAATTAGACAAGCCTAGTAAATCTGGTTGAAGAGCGTACACAATTCTATTCAATTGACTCAGAACCCGATGTTTTGTCATGCATCTGGTGTACACAATCGACCGGAAGTAACCAATTACGGGTTAATCCTATACGATAGCACCACCCGATGCTCTTCCTTAGCCATCATCAGACAAAATCAGTGAGTCCACCAGTCAGTGAGTTAGTAAGCGAGTCAGCCAAGAGTCAGTGTGTCAGTCGGGCACAAAGTGTATCAGTCAATGTGTCAGCGTGCCAGTCAAGTACAAAGAGGAAATGACTAGGCTGGCCCCTCTGAGACCAGGACCGAAATTCAAACACCTACACACCAGTTCTTCCATAAATGCTTTGCGGAATTGCTGGTGGTTGTTCTCGGCTTCGTGCTGATCGGGCAGCGTGCCCAGGTCGCTCAGCTCCAGGTGCTTCTTGTAACCCAGCGTCAGCACCCAGTTCAGCCACCAGTACATGAGCGCCGAGAACAGGCTGACGTAGTAGTGCATGTAGTACATGTCGGCTCGCTTCAGGTCGTCCGGAAACGGTTCCTCCTTGTGGTACCACCCGAAGAGCTGGGGCAGGGGAAAAGGGGTGAGGGATTTGTGATTGTCTAAAAGAATCGCAGGTGTAAAGCTACAAAACTCTTGATCAGTTTAACATCAGACGACCATTTGCTGAAATATTGCTGGTACTTCTGCCAGCTGATACAATTCGTCATCGTTTTCGCGAAGGAACTGGCGTGTCAAAAAGTACATTTTTTTGATTTGGATTTGTTTGTCACTATTTTGCTTTTAAACATCGTACTTAACCATTCTGACTTGTTTCCGTATTCAAAACAGCATTAACTTGTAAAATACATCAATGATGCCAGGGGCAGGCATCTTGATAATTGCATTTTGCGTCATCACGAAGAGACGCGAACATGCCTGCCCCTAGAACACGTACAAAAAGAATAGCACGGAAAGGCGTATAAATAAAAGCCAGTTCATACTCGGCGGGAAAGAGAACACGAATGCGAATTTATGACGTCATCAGGGCAAATATTCGCGTTGCGAATTCGAAAAAGTTGAACAGATTTCAAATCTGGCGAATTTCGCAGCGAATGCTTTTTGAAGTCAAATTCGCATCGCATTCCCATAAAGTATGAATCGGCCTGATGATTAATAGCAGGCAAACTGAGATTTTTTTTTCAAAAATGGACGGGCATCTTAGTTACATTTTCAGCTGCGCGTGCGAAAACAAGGGCACCCTTCCCTATTAAACAAAGGGCGTAAATGTGGGAAAACTTGAAGTTTCGTTTGCACGAAGGAAATGGCATCTTTACTAATTAATTTTGGCTAATTAACCACTGTGTTAATTCTCATTAGGCCTACTTGGTTCATATGAAAGTTTACCTTGCAAAGAATTATGTGAAGGTTTCCTTACTGCATACAGTTCTTGCAAAGTACATTCATGTAGTAAGTTGTGCAGTTTTTAAATAGGAGAAACTTCTCTTGCGTTTATCCCGAGAACGGTTTTTCTTCCAAATTCTCATGCCCGTCCCTTCATGAAAACGGTGACATGTATGACGCCATTTTTTTGGCTTTCAGAATAAATTTCATCTGGTAACGTTAGAAGTTTAACTTTAATAATCAGAGGGAAATTGTAACGCAATTACCTTTGTTCTGATGACGTTAAATTCTATAAGTACCAGGACGAGATAGATGGCGAGTTTGATGAGGGTGAGGTCAAAGACAACAACGTGTACGTCGATGTATCCCTGGTACTCCAAGCTCAACATACGAAGGACTTCATTGGAAAGTGAGAACAGCCAGTAAACCAGCAGCACACCAGACATGGCCGGTACTTGCCATAGCTCCATGTGATGGTAGTATACCAGCGAAATACCAACAGCTACGAAGGCCACAATGCTGTGGATGTAGAGATGAGGCTGCGTGGGCTGCTTCCAGGCCTGGTAGGTCTCATCAGTCATGATACCTTCACCGATGGAGGCAACAATGAGGACAAGAAGGAGGACGGATACTAGCCATCTCAAGCTGTGGCCCGGATAGACTAAGAGATATTTGGTGTGGACTCGGCGGTAGCTGGTGCAGCATCCCAAGACGAGAAGAATGAGCGATGATAGGAGGAGGAAGGTGGCGTGAGGGATGGTCACCAGACCGTCCACAAAACACGTGTTGTTGCGTACGTCGTCGTACCAATCCAACGGCTCTTCGATGTATGAGGAATTTACTCCGCAGAGCCACTCCCACCTCGAGTCCATCTTTTACAACGCTGAAATAAGCGCACAGTAAGCTACATATATTACATATTGTTATCATAAGCTTTATCTGTCTTTAGATATACGGCTTGAGATAAACCCAAATTATACCTCCTTTTAAAACCGTCACATCGCTTCATCGATTCTTCCAACATTCACCCGTAAATCTAAAGAAATTCTTATCACACGGGTTTATCGCAAACCGCTACCTGTTGATAATTAAACTTTGCAAATTTCAAATACTATTATCTGAAGTATTACAAAAATGTCATGGCATGACTGTTACTCTATAGTCTGAAGGTATAGTTCGTCGATATCAAACAGTTGAAGGCACCTGAAATACGTTGTCCTAATCTTTCTTTAAGAAAAAACTATACATGCTTCTCTCCACCCAGGAGTAAATGGGTACCTGTAAGGGCAGAGATGGTTATTGTGATTGAATTAGCTTCCTTGCGCCTAACAGGCTGCATCGAGCTGTATACTCCCCAGGGAGCTGAGATGGTATTTGGAATGTTTCATGTGCCCAATGAGCAGGGGTAATAATGATGTAGCGCCTTGAGCACCAGTCCTGGTGGATACGTGCGCTTAATAAATACCCACTATTATTATTACATTACAATAAAAAAAACCCCCAGATTTAGTTTCAGTAATCGACTTCAAACAAATCAAGCTCAGGATTTGTTTCATAGGATTCTAAATGAGAAACCTACCGTGATTTTAATCTTCGAATTGTTAAAACCATAGTTTATACCGAGCCAATCACGAGTCAATCACAGAGCTTCAAACTGACTTGATACTGTAGGACTTGTGATTGATTTGTGGCGACTTGTGGTTACACCAATAACATTACAACAAGCCACAGTTTTTGTTCATGTGATGGATGGGACTGAGCGTGAAATTCCTTTGCCCCCATAAAAAATAAGCTGGGCCTATATAAATGACTCGTTTAATTTCTATATTATGCTGTTTCACCCACCTTTCCTTGGTGTAATTTTCTTAGTCAATTAAATTAATTAACAAAAAGAGAAATATGTACTTACGTCATGCAAGCCCTCTCAGCTGCATGCAAAATGGGTGAACTGGCAATATCGTTGGACTTTGCTGCCATCACGCACACGACCTTTGTAGCATTTTTGCGAGTTTGGTATCGCGCTCTGCAATCACTGTATTTGACCGTGCCCCGTGCTACAAAGCCAGGGTCATGTGCCCAGGTTCATGGCAACGAACTTTGTAATCGCGAACAGGCCTATTGGCACAGCCAAACAAAATATATCAATATTTCGAGTGGTCTAGCTTTGTAAACATGCGATGGGCATGGGCGTCACCAGGATTTTTTTCTAGCGCGAGGCAAAGCACATTATTTCCCCAAATCCTTGCAATTTCGCCGCCATGTTTTCGATTAATCAACTTTTTGAGGGTGGGTGGGTGTGTGGGAGGGGGGGGGAAACAATTTGCCTACTTGCACCCCCATTGACATCCCTGCAGGGGTCATGTTTTTGTTTTGTTTTTGTTTTCCAAGGGGGGGGGGGGACTGCGGGCGATGCCCATGGCGCAGGGGCTTATGTTCGGAACTTCGGTCTACTAAACGTTCAAGGGCGAACCCAGAACCAACATTTGGGGGGGGGGGTGTCAAACCGCCAGCCAGTCACGAATTCGAAAGGGGTTTACTTATCCGTAAAAGGAAAAGGAATGAGTAATATCAATTTAACAACCGCTTTCACCCCTCTTCTGCTTTTAAATGTTACAATAAAAAACACTTTATCATCAGCAATGATCTCGTCAGCGATGACATAGCGACCATTTTTATTTATCAAGATTTTATTGAGAGGTAAAGGAAAAATAACTTTTAAAGGGAAACGATGGCACTTGAACAGGCAGTAGGAAGAACATCGAGCATTGTTACTATAATTGTGGGGGAGGGGGATGACCCCGGCCCACTTAGACTCGCTGAAGTGGACTCGATTACAAGCGGTCACACTGTTGAGAGGTTAAGAATACATTTCCCGGCCAACAGATATGAAAATTGCGCAAGCTGCGAGAACGAATCACCTTGACACGTGTGGTATATTAACCGCTGAACTTTGTCAAGTTCAATCCGCATGAGGGCGCTATCATGTCTAACCGCATCGGGTAGCGGATCCACGACTTTCTAAATTTCTTGGTTGGAGGAGAAAGAGAAATTCATGGTAAGGCCATTAAATAACTAGAGGCCTGAAGCAGTGAATTAACATAAGCTATTATTGAGTGAAGAAGTTAATCAGCGAACTTGAGAGTTTTTTTCTTCTAATTGTGTGAAATAATTCACACAATGATCAATGGCGAGGGGTTCAACACAAGGAACTAGAAATGAACAAAAATCATTCACTAAACGATTTCCGTTGATTGTTTAGGTAACCCTACAATTTGGTTCCCTAAAAGCTACCTCATTTCCTGTAAGGTTATGTATTTCCTGTCACATGAAACCGGTTTAAGTAATAAACAATGCAAAAAAAACACGTCACAACGAATGAATCGTCCAAACAAGTTAAAAGAAATAACAAAAAAGAACCCCGTTTTAACATCCTGAAATTCCGAAACTGAAAGTTAACCATTTCCTGCAATCGATAGCTTTGTTTTCGGTATTATTTTGCTTGGCTCGTACTTTCAATTTCGTTTATCTTTTCTCTGTAATGTGTGCGACAAACAAATCAGACTTGATGGGATTTTCCTTTGGAAGTTTTATGACACAAATACAGGTTAATAATCTCCATTCTTCGTACTCGTATTTTTTTAGACTATACAAACAAAGAAAAAGGGGCTTAACCCTAAAAGGGCCGGGTTATTTTGACCATCTCTCAGCTGGAGGGGGGGGGGGCGGATTCCGCCCCCCGTAAGATCTCAACCATTGAGTGACGAAAAATTTTGAAACTCGGTACATGCATAGAGCAACTCTTCATAAACATACCCAAGAAATTTCATGACTCTAGGTCAAAGGGTTTTGGAATTATGGCTAATTAATTATTATATGTACGAATGGTAATTCTGGTCTGTGTACACGACGTATGTGGGAAAATTTTTCGCTGCGCAAAAACCCCTAGTCCGATTTTTATATTTTTTTTGCCTCAAAAGATGCGCAAGGCTCGAGGCTAAAATGTCATAACAGCTCGGGTCGCGGAATTTATTTAAAAGGCTATTGCGGAAAAAGTCGAGGCGGGGGGGGGGGCGGATTCCGCCCCCGGCCCTTTTAGGGGTAAACTTGTGTCTGACTATATACATCTTAGCATAAACTATAAGCCTATATGAAAACTATTATGATAGACATACGTACATGTACAAAACTGCTGGAATTAATTCTTTTTTTTACAAAATTCAACTACATGGCATAAACTACGTTTATTACATTCTTCTTAATCCGATACTGGTTAATAATATAACATCCAGGGAAAAGTTTTTATTTCTGGCCAAATAGAGAACTTTTTGTCATCTTACCAAACTAGTCTCTCCAAAAAATTAACTTAAAGTTATGAATATTTTTGTTTTGCTTTACTTCGTTCAAGTACAATCTTTGTGTCTGAACTATGGCAGTCCGAGAAATCTACATTTGTAAGTGTTTATTGCGTATTGATAGAGCACACGATACAATTGTTAGCTTTCTATTTCCATATCAATAAAATTCTGCCCACGCTAAGTGAGAATTAGTTTTAGTTTCTTGCGCAACTAATTCCGTCAGTTTTTAATTCTATTGATTTTCGCGCTTTACAAAACCATAATAACAATAAGGTAAAGATATGAATGAAATATTTTTCCAATAAAAAATGTTTCCCTTAATATTTTTTTCAGTCATTCGGTAGCGAGAGTGAATAACTTGATTCATTTGATTAGTATACAGACACACTTTCTTTGAAATATCGGTTCGGCTTAATTCACATACTGTAAATTTATACTGGTATAATGTTTGTACACATACGACTGACCTTTTTGAATGGCGTGAGAAAGTTTTGTTAAAACGTTATTGCCGCCATTTTTTTGCATAAGGTTTGTTACTATGTTTCCAAAGATGTGACAAATTACTTTTATTAATGAAGACCGTTCCCACAAAGTGTGTGGCTTTAGTACAGCAAAGCGCTCTGCATCAAGCCATTATCGACTTGTCTTGTTTCTGCAGTACCTCGAAGTCAGCATATTCTTCTCTCCACCCTCACATGTAGCGTACCCATTGGTAACCCTGGGTGGATATATTTTATTGTAGGACTGTGTTTGCCTAAAAACACAAACACAATGTTTCAGTGAGTTCCAAAACATGAGTTGGACAGAGTTACAAGTGAAACATGCATGCTTCACTCAACAGCATTTTCGATTACATGTCAGCTTCATCTTAAAGTACTCTCGAATCTTCCTGTGCATGACGGCATATAGGAAGGGATTCAGACCAGAGTTGGATAGCAGCAGGTTCGACAGATGATTTCTGACTTGTCTGGAAATGCAGTCGTCACAATCGGATCCCTTGGATAGGACGATGAAGATAGGGTAGGGAAGCGTGCAGAGCGCGAACGCTCCTAAGAGAATCGCGAGTCTCACGGCTGGTTTCACGTACCTGCGTCTCACCTTGGCGCGGGAGAAGGAGCCCGCGCCTCCCAGCGATCCGTCACCCAATCCAAAGAAGGATTTCTTCCTCCACGAGGCATCCATGGTCTTCCGTTTCAGGGGGCGGCGTGGTTCCACGGCACCGCCCGGGCTGAGCGGCGGCTGCTGGTGAGAGTTCGGTGTGCTACTGAACTCGGTGGTTTCCATTTCGCTCGGAGATTCCGAGCTCATCAGCGTGCTACTCGCTACGGTAGGCGGGTCCTTGTCGGCGTCCTTCGGGTGGACCAGTCTGTTGTTGACGACGTCGACTGACCGTCTCCGGGGGCCTTTCCGCTTCCGCAAGCGCCTGCGAAGTAACATGGAAAACCGGAGGGTCGAGACGAGTATGACGAAGAACGGAATGACGAAAAGCAGGATGAAAATGACAAGAATGAATCGAGGATCGCTGCGTACGGGAGACAGACATTCCCTGCTGTAATCCACGGAGGAGTAGTCACCCACGAGCCAGAGAATAGCCTCGCACGAACCGATTAGAAGGGCAACTGTCCAGGCAGCAGCGATGGTCAACTTAACGTTTCGGGAGGACTGGAGCTTGAGATAAGCCGGGTACTCCCTGGACACCAAGAAGTAGCGATCCAAGCTGACAGCGGTGACCGTGTACATGCCGGCCGAGACACCGACCACTGAAAAGAAGGCAAAGGTGACGCAGGCGGCCTTGCCCAGAGGCCAGTATCCGAGACCCGTGTGGATTGCCGCCACAGGCAACCCCGTGGCCCCGACCACCAGATCACAGCAAGACAGGCTGAGCAGCAGGAGGTTGCTAGGCTTCTGTTTGAGAAGAACATTGGAGATGAAGGCAGAGATGGTCATGATGTTGCCGGCCAGCGTGACGATGACCAACAGGAGCAGAAGAATTCCCACCAGGATTGAACCAGCGACTGGTGGCTCAATTGGGCTCGGGGTAGTCGACAGATTGAAGACAACATCATCAAAAGTAGTGTTTTCCATTTTGTTTGGTATCACCGCGGTGCCCCTTTTTCACCACAATCAGCCCGATCAAAAACAATGAGAAACTCTGATAAATGTTTTTTTACTGATCAGAACTTGAAGCACTGAATCACGTGTCCGAGTCACGTCCTGTTTCCAGTCTATGGTTGAAATATCTGAACTCAAAATGTCAGCAGTGTGCTTTTTATACTTTCCAAAGTACACCGGTCTCCTGAAAACCTGAAGCAGGAAATTCCGTACGGTGTAATCGTTTACATTATACTTAACCCGTTTCCTAATTGTCCCTGGAATTTCCAAAGACTTGGTTTGTTTATTTTCTTTTTCTGCAGTTGCCCTCGCCCTGTAAAAACAAGTGGATCGAACACAAAGTTTCATGGAAAAAAATCAAGAACATTAAAAAACAAAAATCCAAACCACCAAAATATGCACATTTTCCATGAAACACGTGGAAGGGGTTGATGGAGACGGTACAATCGATAGTGTGTGTAAACATGCGTTCGTTCTTAATTGCAAAATGTCTGCATGGATGTGCCGTTAACTTTAATACCAGTGGGCAGCAGCAACGTTGTATGCTGGAAAAAACTCTTTCATTTTGCATTTAACCCTTAAAAGGCCGGGTTATTTTGACCATCTTTCAGCCGGGGGAGGGGGGCGGGGCGGATTCCGGCCCCCCTAAGATCTCGGCCATCGAGTGACGAAAACATTTAAACTCAGTACATGCATAGAGCAACTCATCATGAACATACCCAGGAAATTTCATGACTGTAGGGTCTAAGGGTTTTGATATTGTGGCTAATTAATTATTCATTTGTACGAATAGTTATTGTGCTCTGTGCACACGACGAATATGGGAAAATTCAAATTTCACGGCGCATAGCACCGGAAAAAAATCATAACAGCTCGGGTCGCAAAAAAAAAAATAAAATTAAGGCTATCACTGAAAAAGTTGAAGGGGGGGGGGGAGGGGCCGCGGCCCTTTTAGGGTTAAGGGAAGATTTGCTTGTGTGTTAACACGTTAATTGTGTAAATAAATTGAGGACACTTAAAGAATCACCAGTTCTTTTTAAGGAAATGTACCAAAGTGTGACCGGTCACCGAGTGAAAAACATGCACAAAACCAATAGGAGGCGTTGCAAATCTATGACATGGGTCGATTTTACACCATACACAAAAATGACTGTGAATGTGGGCGTGTTCACTTTTCAAACCGTGGACGAACACCAGTCAACAAAAGAGAACCATATCGGCCACGATTCCCAGCATACGTCCACGATTGGGTCGTGTACACGACTGTATGGGTACGGGTGCGGGGGGGGGGGGGGGGGGCGATAAATTTGTGGGCAGAGACAAATGCTTTTTTTCCCTTGGTTTGTTTTTGGCAGGCAAACGGGTTTCTAAGCAGGTGGAATCAGGAGACTATGGCTTTACTGCTTCGGTATCAGAGCACAAGTGAAGTTCAAGGCATATCGATAATCTTGTCATAACGACAGACCAAGTGTTATTTGTCTGTTACTATACGAGGGTTCACGAAATCTTGGCTTCATCTCCATCTTTCATGGCTTTAGACTCCAGCTTCATGATTTGTTTGCCCCGCTTGACTTGCCAGTCTCCAGTACAACATTGGTCCATTCAAGGCCAACAGTTGGCGTATTTTCATTTGCATTCGGTAATAATAGATATTGAATGGGGAACAAAGCCAGATAGCACAGTGCTTGTCCGCATAAACTTCGACAACAGAGGGCGCCACAACGTTTACGCGACCATTCCAAATTAGGCGGGTTCGTCGACCCGCACCCTGCATGCAAAGTTAATAATGTGTTTGTCGGTTCAGGCAAGGCTATATTTTGAAGTGCTAGCTGGAGGTCTGGTTTAACATTTGAAACATCACTCATTATTGCCGACACACAATTTGACGAAACCCATTTGTAATAATTATCCCTCCCCCTTTCAAAGAGTTATTAAATTAAATGTTGAACCTGCATCGCTGTTTGGATGGGACTAACCATCGTCTTTAAAGATATTCCATTCTTCAGAAGTGTAAATTTCATGGTCGTTTAGATTTGAGAGTTTGAGATATGGTGGACACAAAGGATGGTGGAGTTAGAAGGCAGATCTTGGTGGGGGCAAGGGGTGGGGCGAACATGACCCTTACAAATGCATTTGGCTGCATTAAAATGATGAGGTCAACCATTTGAAATGTTCTCTCCATTTTGTTGTTATCGAAAGCGTCAGCAACTCACGATTGCTTCTATTAGTATCAGCATCCCCTCCCTAGACAATTACATGAATACAAACATAATTTCATTGAAGCCAGTTCCGCTTTCACCCAAGCTCACACTTAATAGAAAATGCACTGAGTGTACTATTCACTAAAAATGACCTTTTATCCCCTTTTGCCAGTCATGTACTGTCTGACAAAAAACATGTCCGTGGAACACGAAGAAGGAAATACACACCAAACAAACAGGTATTTCGCATTGCAATATTTACGCATAAACTTGACATGCACTGGAAAACCAACAAGGAAGTGCGCGATATGAAGGCCATTATAGTGCAGGGAAAAATCCAGAAGGCAACTGCGACAGATAAATACCCCCATTTTGACTTCTTCGCAATTCAAAACGATAAAAGCTAGGTTCGGATGTTGAAAAAAACTTACTGTTGACCCAATTTTTTGCGTCACACAAATACCCACTTTTTACTGAACTATAAATCGGCGGAAATATACATTAAAATAAGTCTTCCAAATATCAAAGGCAGTTTAAAAATGACATAACTTTGCTACAAAAAAAAAAAAAAATATTCATATTATTATTATTATAATGTTTCTTTTGCTGAGAAGAGTTTCACCCAAAGATGTTTTCACGTGGTGTTAGAATACTTGCCTCACAAATCTGTTCCATTTGTTTGGGTTTGGGCCAAGGTAATATTCTGCTATTGACTACGGGGAATTGTTGTACTTGAAATTGAACATTCTAAAGCCCAATCCTGGTTATGATGTTTTTACTAGCATAGATGCTGCAGCATTATTGTCGACGTATGTAATACGGGGTCCGTAAAACTAATTACTTAAGCTGATTTTCGAAATATAAATTTTGACTGTACACATGTACTTGCAAAAAAAGGTTGGTGGTTAAGTACCGGTTTATAGTCTTTTTGCTGTCAATTTAAGAGTTTCTTATCCTATTGTTACAGTCTTACTTTTAAATATTTAGTTGTTTAATTTTTATTATGTTCAGTTAATGTTTTAAGCTATAGTGTTAATTTTAAGATTTTTTATCGTCTTAAATGCTGATTGTTTTGTTTATCGTTTTATTCTATTTTACACCAGGAAATTATGTTTTAACTTACATGACTATATGTTTTATTTGTCCATAAAATAATATAATATTGTTTGATTTTATTGATAGCTATTGCTACTTCAAAGTACTCGATCGATGTAGAAATTACCATCCGTTCATAATTAAATACAAATGAGAGAGCCACACAATTGGTGACAAGCTTTCGGTTAGCATAACAAAAAGTCAAAAGTTCAGATGCCTGTTTTTAGTCCAAACTGTCCAATAAATCCAAACAAAAACACGTTATGTTTTAACGGGAGTTTTTGTTTTTGGAAACACCGAGGGTACATTTTAAGCACTTCTGTGTAACTATGATTGGTTCTCACGTTTTGGGTGTCTTCTTGCAGCACGAAGGAATGAGTTTGCTGACATAGAAGAGTCTGATCTTCCTGTGCATGATGGCATAAAGGAACGGATTCAGTCCAGAGTTGGATAGAAGTAGGTTGGACAGATGATTCCTGGCTTCCACCAAGCTCTTGTCTGCGAGGATGAGAAAGAAAGGATACGGCAGCGTGCAGAGTGCGTACACGCCCAGGAGAATGGCTAGCCTCACGGCCGGCTTGATGTACCGGTTCTTCATCTTTTGGGCCTGCCGGTTGCGCCGGGATGCACCTCTGGAAGCATCCAAGCCGAGACCGAAGAAAGACTTGTTCCTTCCGGTCTGGGCCAGGGACGGATGCTTCTTGGCCGCCGGGCGTCCTGGCTTGTTTGCGGGAGTGTCGCTGCTGGAGTCGGCAGTAGAGGTCGTGTCAAAGACGACAGCTCTGAGGGAAGCAGGTGACGCCGGCTTGCCTGATCCGTCTACGTCCTTGCCGTTCACCGAAAGGACTTTGTTGTGGTGGCCGGACTGCTCGCTGACGGTGCTTGAGAGTTCGTCCGCTTTGTCGATGCGATCGTGGTGCGATTTCACCGATGCGCTCGGAGCTCGGGCCCGCTGCCTCCGGAGGCGACGGCGAAGGAGGAAAACGAACCGGCCGGTGGAGAGTACCATAACGGAGAACGGCACGGCGAACAAGAGGACGAAGATGATGAAGACAAACAGGGGATCCTTACGGACTGGAGACCGGCACTCCGTGGTGTACTCGATCGCGTCGTCGTTGACGCCGGAGATCCAGAGGATCGTCTCAATGCTGCTGATGAGGATGGCTGCGCCCCAGGCACCAGCAATCTGCAGCTTGACGTTCCGGGAGGACTGGATACGAAGATAAGTTGAGTATTCACTGGAGACCAGCAGCCAGCGGTCCAGAGCTATCGCCATGACGGTGTACATGGCGGCCGAGACCCCAATGACGGAACAGAAGGCAGCGATAATGCAGACGGGCTTTCCCAGCGGCCAGTAGCCCAGCCCTGTATGGATGGACGCCACGGGAAGACCCGTCGCCCCTACCACCAGATCGCAGCACGACAGGCTCAGGATCAGCAAGTTACTGGGTTTCTGTCGCAGGAGGATGTTAGATTGGAAAGCCCAGATCGTCCCAATGTTCCCAGCCAAGGTAACTACCGAGAGAATTGCCAGTAGCACTCCCAGAAATATCGACAATCCGGTGATCGGTAAAGCAATGTCCGGGATCTCAGTTGTATTATCATACATGTAGTAAAAATCCTCCATGGCTGTATTGTTATTTATTCAAACTTCAACGTCCGAAAAGAGCAATTTTTTTTTCACAAGAGAAAAAACAACAACAACAACATATTCAGCACTTCTCGTGAGTGTATTACTACTCTACCTCATGCCAACACGTACAGTTCTCTGTAAACTAGTCAAGTTCGTCTCCACAGTGTAGCAGTTTCCAGACAAACCTCCCGAACGCTTTTGTTGAAAACCATGTACCGGAACGAACGCAACCAATGTAGAAGGAACACAATCGCACGAGACCTTGGTTATGACAACCTGTGAGTATGGGGTGTTTAATGGTATGTATTAGCACGAAGCCTAATACTTCCGGGTATAGAAGGCCATGCTACCGGATCTTGGGTTTACATATCCGTCTTTCTGCAAACAGCGTGTAGTAAGCGGGAAGTTTGTTGGTGCTACCGAGCGAGTGTTAGCATGATGACCGTTTTAGCTGATTTTCGGCTTTACTTTAACAGAATGGATTTTGGGCAGATTTCTGGCAGAATTCTGCAAAAATTGCAGAAAAACATAGCAAATTTGAAAAAAATGGTACACTTGTTTAAAAAAGCTTCAATCTTTTTAAACAAACCCCTCCATAATGGGACAGGTTGGTTGGTCTTAAGGTGCTGAGGTTCACTGGGAACCGGACTTCAGCACCGTGACGTAAACGCGCATTTTGCCAGAAATTTAAGCAATTTCATAACATCTTTATGTGACTATATATTGTTTATATTTGTAATTTGAGCCTTAATCATGGCAAAACTACAACATCTGCATGTGATTTTTAGTGTTGATAGTGTACTTCGAGTAATTTTGGGGAATTTGGCAGATGTTTGATAAATCTGACAGATTTTTTATATGTATTTAGCAGAATTTGGCCATGACCTTACGATCACCCTGAGTGTTAGATTCAGCAAATGACACACAGGCAGGTGTGAGGTCAGGTGCGCTCACTTGATACTTGCACAAACTTAAAGGTATACTGCCAAAGCTGTGTTTAGCAATATTGAGCACTTTACTAAAATCACTTTATTGCTATCATTTTGCAAACATGTTTGAATAGTAAACATGTTTAGCGTAATAATGGATAGTATTTAGCAATTGAATATTGTCAGGAATTGGACAGCTAATGTTTAACTTCTCAACATGTTTACAAAGTGAAAGCTATATGTGTTTAATTGCTAAACACAGTGTTTAGGACGTGATGGACACCAGTTGCCAAAAAAAAGAATTGTTTTCTGCGATTCAAGGAATAACGATACAGTAAATCTGAAGCGGGCTAAAAAACACAAACGTGTCGAAATGTCAGCTCAGCGTACTTCTGAAAAAACTGTGGGAATGCACTATATGCAGCCTGATTTTGCTCAACGCAAAGCATAGGTTCTCGTTGAAAGCGTGACCATCGCAATTAGGAAATGAAAAATACAGGCGCGAATCCAGAGGGGGTGGAGGGGGTGGGGTTTGGGTTTCCATAGAAACTCATGGAAAAAATGCGAAAACCACCCGTGCTTCGACACCTAAATTGCTTTGGTAGTAATAATGTCCGCCTTGTACAAAATACGTACAGACTGAGCCAGCTTGGTTAGGGGATATAAATTCTGTACATTATTCTGTGATATAGCGTTAATGATCGTCGGATTTGAACAGCGCGCCCATTGAAAGTATGGTACCCCCCCCCCCCCCCCCCCCCCGCTTTTTGATTTTACGGAGGCCAAGTGTCCGGAGAAAACAAAAAAGGTGTCTTCATTTCAAACTTTTTTTGCCGATGAAATTCCCCCTGCGAAAATTCCTGGATCCGCCTATGAAATGTTGTCTTAATATGGCGGCAGCTATAGGCGCACTTATTTCACAACAGGCCTGATTCTATTATTTTCTTCCAGTCCAAGAGGATATTTCATAACTCGACAGTTTCACTTCTGAATGTTTGCAAGCGGTGTCCATTTACGTTTAAATCCATATACTTAATTCTTGTTTGATGTACTTTCATTATACATGTTAAGGCAACTAAAGGTAAAGTCAAAATTCGAATGGCTGGATCGTTTTTTTCCCCATTTCCATAATGATTAACCACTACAGCTAAATCTTCGAAATATCCTGAAATTATAAAACAAACATATTTTAATATTTTAATACTCCTAGTTAGTTTTCGCTTTGTAGTTTATTTGAATATTTCTAAATTAATAAATTAGAATTAATTTTTTTTTTGTGCTCTGATGAGGGCAGTTTTACTCAAGAAGTTTGAATAAGAATGGTATTACGGTATTACAACAAGGTTGGAAGGATAATTGGGGATGCAGGCACAGATCGGGGGGGGGGGCAGTTCTGTCAATTTGTATTCCTTAGAAATTCATGAAAAAATGAAATGTTGATAACCGTCAGATTTGAACAGCGCCTCCATTGAAGTATGGTACAAGGCCCCTCCCCCACCTGTTGATTTTCGGAGGATAAGTGTCCGGAGAAAAAAAAGTCTACATTTAAGATTTTTGGCCGACGAACCCCCCCCCCCGCGAAAATTCCTGGATCCGCCCCTGGGACGGGAACCAGACCAGGGAGAATAATGATAAAACAACCGAGCTTACAGCACAAGGATTGGCACAGGAAGGAATGATATAAGATCATGGCTGCGCTGTAGGAAGCTACTGGCGTGAACTTTGGCAGTCGGATGTAGGATATTTGCGCATGTATTCGGTGTAACAGCAGAAAACAAAACATCCTCGAAAGGGCAGAGACGGAATCAAAGGATAAGTTATGGGGAAATTGATTCACGATTTAGCGGGTGTTAAAGGGGGGGGGGGTAAACACGCGTTTACTAAATTGGTGTCTTACCCCGGCATTCAAGATCGCAATGTCTAGGGACGTCTCGTTTTTTTGTCCAAGCCTTACCACCCGACTCCCAGACGTCGAGTTTCGTCATGACCGTATGACCATGGACCAACTGACGCTGTGACAATGGGCTGCGATCTCGAGAGAAGTGGGTGATGACCCTCACAATAAAGTTCGTTCATGAATTTCAAATGTATTTATTTCCAAAAATCGTGTATATTCCTCTTACAATTTGTTTGTCTGCGACCCAATGCAAAAGTATACTGCACCCAGTATTATAACTGTGTATATGTTCTAGTGGTACAGATGTCTAGCGCCCCCATCGCCCTTCACCAGTGGGTGGTGGGAGGTGGGGGGGGGGGGGGTGTATCACCATCCCGCAATGGTGTCCCTTTTTTTCACAAGTAGATCGTTTCTCACGCCCTTATTTATCGAGTGCCTTTTTTGAATGTCGAGTGAACGTCGCAAATTATATGAAAACCGGCACCTATTGTCCGATAGTGCCCATGATATTCTGGGTTGAACAGCGCCTCCATGGAAGATGGTTTCCGGCCCCCCTCTCCGTTTTGATTTTACGGAGACCGGGTGACCGGTGAAAGAAATGTCTACCTTTCAGCACGGATATCTGTGAGTGCCATTTCTCAAGTTTACCATTGCAACTGCCCTGCTAGTTCTTGAGCCAAAATTCATGATTCTCAAAGCAGCATAATCATATCTACAATAGTCGAGGGACAATGAATATACACTTCAGTAGCAGATCTACGGAGGGGGAAGGAAGGGGTAGGCGGTCTTTACCCTCCCCCACCCACCCCGACAGCTTAACCCACCCCTTAAGCAAGAGGTGGATCCGCCCTCCATTGGCATCTTGCAGGACAATCCTTCAACAAATAGGACCAGGATTTCTACCTCCAATGTTCGAATAGGTGACTAAATGTTTATAGGTGACTATAGGTGACTAAATGTTTACATGAGACCTCAGGCAGCCAAGGGTAGGAGGGGCGGATACAACAATTGATACAGTTTGTACACGTTTTAAACTATGTATTAATACAGGGTGAGTAAAAAAAACGAAACCAAAATGTCGGGCTATTGTTTTATTGAAATTCTGCACTTAGCATTTTCAAAATCTAAGATATAGAAGTCTATTTCATACACCTTCTTTTAGTACAAGAATCATTCAAACCACTTATGTACTTTTCAAGTTACGGAATTTTAAACACAACCACCGTTTCAAAGTTCTGTCCACGGATCACAAAAAAAGTGTGCGTTCTTTCAGCAAAACGAAAACAATTCACACCTATCCCTATGTGATTTGTTTTCGTTTTGCTAAAAAAACACTGAACTGAATTGGACAGGATTGGACTTATATATCCTATATTTTGAAAGTGCAACATGCAGCATTTCACTAAAACAAATTTAAATTTCTCTTAGATATACCGTCGATATTCTTCAACAATCCGTCCATATTCTTGACAAACCACGGTGTATTTGTATATCATCACCTTAGGACAGTCGTGGCTATCCGACCTGAAACGTTAGTGTATTCTTAGAAAGTCGAATTTTCCACGAATCTCGACGGTTCATGGCGATCGATTGATTCTTTGTAAACGTGGATATTTTTTAACTCCAACCGTAAATGTGTGACTGGGGCATAAAGCTAATCTTCAAGTCAGGAAGAAATCGTTTGATAACATTCCAAATCTATGTATTTATATACATTTCTAGGAATTTCCGAAAATTGTTTTTTTCACGAGTAGTTGAACACTATTATCTAAGTATATTCCGAATTTCAGCTTAATCTGCAAGGAAAACTTCGACAAAGATTTTTTGCCGACCAAACCCACGTGCATGGTGTACAGCAAGGATCCTCTATCGCCGTAGGTGCTCATGGTTGACCAATTCGGCCCGGCCACACAATGACGAAGCGCATTTTATTATTAGCATATTCATTTGCGTCACTCGGCGTGACTTGGCGTGAGTCTCGATATCGACCAATGGAAGTCGGCAAAGGGTGATATTTATTAATTAATGAACTCATGATTGTTATTTTTCTGCACATTTTTACTGCACACCATAATAAATGGGAACCTTATTATTGTTTGTGAGGCTTGAAACGATTGACAAATGTTGCAAACACCAGTGTAACAAATTTTAGAATACGTGAAGCCATTTCGTGGCCACTTAATTCGAGGTTTCCGTTGGCGCAAAAGTTTAAAAATCGAAGTAACCACGAAATGGAATCGGATCTCACGGGTTGCCACGAACTAACCACAAATTAAGGACGTGTCAATTCTTTCCGTGGGCCGATTCTCACGGATGCTCCACGGATCACCCAAAAAGTTTTTGGATATGTTGAAAAACATTTGGGGAGTCAGGTTGGCTTAGCGGTACTTTCCTCACCTTCCACCGCTGTGACCCGGGTTCGAATCCCACCCG